TTGCGACTAAAATTATGTCGAAAGCTACAGAGCGTAAATCGATTGGCTTGTTATAATTCGAGGTGCGATTTGTCTATTTCCTGTGCATCTACTAGAACATAACTACCTAATTTAAATAAGATCTACTTGGCTGGTGGGGTTTAGTTCGCGTGGATATATCAGGCATAGTCTTTGTCCTTCGTTTCCAGCAGTTTACACCGCGTCTAAGCAAGCCTAGGCCAGTATTGGCTTCTGACTAACCCTCAGACACTGTCCACTGAGTTTCTCGCGGATCTTCTGTGGGTCGCGTTTCCGATCCGGTGGTAGATTCTGCGTAGCACGGCTCTTGCTAGGGTTCGGTTAGCAACGTCGTCAGGTTTGAGCCCCGTGAGTTCACCTACTAGTTAAGGTTACGCTGAAATAGCCTCTAAGGGTCTCAACTTAGGTAGGGAAAAATAAGGTTCTGATTTCTTGGAGTATGGTGTCAATCCGCATCAAGACTGCTAAATATTGAGCTGCGTTCCTACATATGTTAAAGACAAGTTCTAGTTTTACATTTGTTTTAGTCATGTAAGATTTTCTCAAATATTATCAGCAAGTTTCGATAGCAGGAATTATGTGTATATTTCATTGTCGCATTTTGGAATATGTTCCAATGGGGTACCCGTTGTTTCAACACAGTTGAAGTCAAAATCCTCCCCTCTCAAGATGGGCATTCCGACACGAGAACAACCACAGGTCAGATACTAATATACGAAAAATACTTTAAAACGTGCATATACAAATCGACACTAAAAATACCTGAGAACCGGTTCCAACAGCTCATTACGCAACAAAGAACACTAAAAAATGATACCAGTCATGTTCGAATCAGTCAATTCTCGTAGTTCAGTGAACCGCGTCATGGCAATCATCCAGATTGTCATTTCCTAAATTAATTTATCTGTTCGTCTACAAAATGTCTAGGTGATTTGATTTTCCAATCATATTTCAGTGACCAAGCCTCTGTGCTTAGCTAAGCTCACTCTCTCGAGCCTCTGTTCGGGAACCAAGCTCGAGTCGGGCGAGTTACACTATGATGTGTAATGGGTCAATTTAAAACATTATGAACTCAAGTGTAGTCGATTAAGAGGAAAAACGGGCGATGAGACTTTGAAAGAATTAGTCAATTTAATTATTTAGTTAGTTAATTTAAAAGCGACCGTCTAAGCCCCATCGAATGTAGCACGAAAATGAGAAATGTAACTTGAATTAAGAATACCTATAACTGAATTTAAAAATCCATTTTTAATTTATTTAAACATTTTTATTGTTGTTTGAACTGGCGAAAAATTCTCATTTAGTTATTTGAAGAAGAAAAAATTTGCTAAATACGTTTCTAACTCAACTCGGTCGTCCGACCTTGAAAGTCTTCGTAAAATAGCCCAACTATTATAATTCAACATACATCTTACAAAGCTAATTTACTTAAACGGATCTCGTTAAAATATCTCGCCTCTGTCACCCCTATAGAACAAAATTACTTTAGAAAAAAATAGAAATATTTTTTATTTTTTTATTTTTATACATTTAGGCCCGAGTTGTAGTTTCGAGTTTTTAGCCAAGGCATGTATGTGTCTTAAGAAATGGATGCCCTTTTGACGCTCTTTCTATTGATTTGACTTACATAACTAGATGCGTCTAAATCTAACTGCTTTGTCTAACTTGGCAACTGAGCTTTTGTTGAGAATGCATTTATATAGTGCTATCGAGCTGACCGGAAGAATCTGAGGAAAAAGCGGACTTCTTAGGTGGATTTTAGCGGATCCATCCAGTTTAGTTTCGTTAAATTCGACTAAACGAATACAATTTACCATTAAATGTGCATAAAATATGTAAAACTTGTATGCAACGCTAAGCGTACACGAATGTTTAACTGGCTCTGCCCCTGGCATTGCTGAAGTCTATGGGCGACGGTAACAACTCACCATCAGGTGGGCCGTATGCTCGTCTGCCTACAAGGGCAATAACAAAAAAGCCCACAGACTTCCACTGCTGGATAGCTAGACATAGGCCTCCCCCAAGCCTCGCCGCAAAGATCGGTCCTGCGCTGCTTGCATCCAGCGGATCCCCGCGAACCTCAATAGGTCATCGGTCCATCTTGTAGGAGGCCTAATCCATCCTGCGAAGAATTCGGGGATGTGGAGAACCTTGGCCCTCCTCGTCCTCCTCTTCCTCTCGGGAAGCGCCGGAGCTCGACATAACCCGGTTATCGGGTTATCGGTATAAGGGGGGGTCCCCTATACGGACATGAATTCCCCAGCATTAAAAAAAAGGAGGCCTAAACCACGCTACATCTTCTCGTACGCTAAATTAAATAATTGAAACACTATAACACTTTAAAAATTACAAAACATAAAATAATTGTTCTAAGAAGCCAAGTAAGTTGAGAACTGTATGGCGGCCCTGGTAAGACCCCAAGTGTCGGATTACAACGCGTCACAGCAACCGGACACTACAGTACGGACGAGTAAGCACCACGCTCGAGTTCTTCACGCATGATACACATACAAGAAAAGATCGTAAGGTTTTTGAGGAAAAAGATAGTCTTATAGTATTTTCGAGAGGTCTTGATGATAGGGGAAAAAAATGCTCTAACACAACAAGAAGAAATTTTCGATAATTAAAACAGTTTTGGAATCCAATCCCGCTTCCAAACTCAACGAATATTAAGGATTATAGTGTTTCAATTCATTTAATTATGTCAATTTAGATCTCAACTATATGATAACTGTTACATTGCAAACGTGTTCGGTGTGAGCGTCGGAAGGTTCCTAGCATGGTATTCCATTTCCCTTTGTATGGCAGCAGTAAGTCCCGTGTTCCGGTTCGAAAGGAGGGCGTCAAACTAATGCAAATAAGACTTCGATTATCGTTTCATGTGAGTTAGCATCGCCAATCAATATGCCTTTGATGTTGACCATTTAGGAATTACTTCAGAGTGTAGGGATCGTCCGAAAAGCCAAAATTTCAAAACTATTAACAATATCACGGCACATCTAGTGTTAAATGGTTACCTTGGCATAGACATTACACATGGAATACCTGCACCCACATTAAGACACGAGGTTGAAATCTCAGAAGTTGAGAAGTTTAAACTCAAATTAATAACTGATTTGCAGCAGAAATAGGCAGGATAGTGTCACCTATCCGTGCACACTTAAATACACTCTAACACCAGTGATTATTTTTTGTTTATCATTTTATACCTACATAGAAGTACTTCTTTTAAGTATGGAAGGGGTCGGACACCTCTGCCCCTTATTTTTCTTACAATACAATGCATAATGTTTTAGTAAAACATCTGTTTGCATGGATATTTTTGTCGTTTTCTGATGAAGTAATGTGATTCCCTCATCACACGTTTATTAGATTTTTAGAAACAATATTATATCATCATTATCCTGCCCTTCTCCCAGTCACCTGGGGTCGGCGCAACATGTTTTCTCCTTCCATACTCTTCTATCATATACAATTTCTTTGCTCACTCCCCTCCTACCCATATCGTCGTTTACACAACCCATCCATTTCTTCTTAGGTCTACCTCTTCCTCTAAATCCTTCCACATTCATAGTTAACACTCTCTTGACAACCTCATTTTCATTCCGTCTCATCACATGTCCAAATAATAAAATTAAAAGTAAAACAATATTATATAGTGAATAAAAAATCTCATGATAATCATAAAATAACAAACAAGTCATTAAATGCAATTATAAAATAATTAAACCAAATAGATAAAGTGGGTTATCTGTCAAGAATACAATATGGTCGCATGTCAGTATAGGTGTGTCTCTGATAATGTGTGTTATCTATGTCTTGTTTGGGTCAAATGTTGCATTGCAGAGATAATTTACCTTTTTTATTTTGAACATTTTTCAGTAATTTTGGAAACTTCAACTTCAATCAATTTAGTAAACTAACATAATAATTATTTCAGATTGCCTTTTTAAGGAACTCCGAGTTAAGCCACTATGGACAGTAACAATATCTTCAGACTCCATCCAATACCAGGCCGCACTAAAGCTGGAGGAACTAGCCATCAAAACCTGTCCTTTTTAATTAGACACAAAAATACAAGTCAGGCTAAAGTATATAATAATATTTCCTTTTTAGTTATACCCCTTAATAAGACAAACTTATAAACAAAAAGTTTCACCAAGATCACTTAATTGATGATTTTGATATAGACATACCAACACTTCTGGTGTGAATTAGAATAATGGATAACCAAAATATTTTTTAAATACATGGACCAAACAGAAGACATCAGCAAGGTGCGAGACATTAGAAGGATGTGACATTTTTTGTGTTTATTACTTGTTTATGTGAATTGAGATGTCCAGCAAGTTTTTGTAAGCAATTTTTGGTAAAAAAGAAGTTTCGGAAATTGATTAAGTGCTAAGGTACATAGTTGTTTATACTTTTAAATTTTATGATTTTTTGTGTCTGAAGACGAAGACTGAAGACGCTGATAAAAATCACGCGCATAATGAAAGCTATTTCAATTGATTAAACACGTTCTCGGACTAGTTCTAAACGTTCTACACAAATAATTATTGTTTTAAGGTCACGAAAACAGGTAAAAAATTTGCAAACTTTATCACTTCCTAGTTAACAAGAAATGTGGTAGAGTCTATGTTTATTCTTAACATATAAAGTAGTGATATAATGGAGTATGTATTTAATAGAAATAGTGTTATTTGAGATCAAATAATAATAAAAGCGACAAAGAACTGCTACCCATAACTTTACGACTAGGATAAGGTGTGACAATACATAACCTATACACCTATTAAACTTCTAATATATGAAAAAAAACTTACGTTTGTTAAATGAATAATTAAAATTAATATCTTAATATACAATTTTCAAACATATCAGCCGCACTAATTTAATGTTTAAATTGAAATAATGGCGGGCGGCACAATGGCGCGATAAAATTCTTAACGGGTAACTATCTCAAATACAATGTAACTCACCGATTCAAGTAAATATATTTGATTTTTAAGTATTTAATAGCACAATTTCGGCTTATCACTGAAATTTGTTTTGTATTTAAATAATACTTAAATTCTGCGAAAAGGCGTCACTTTCACACATAGTTCCCGAGAACAATGTTGCCATAAATTAGTTATAGAATAGCAATGTTGAGATTTGTGGTAGGAATTAGACAATGTTATAAAAACAGAATGAAGGTATAATAGAGACAATGAGTCAAAATACTACCGAATATGTATTTGATAGCAAGAAGGATTATGAATTGAGGTGGCTTTTAATATAAGATCAAATATGCCACTGGTCGCCAGTAAAATTTGTGTCATTCACTTTTAAATTTTTGATGGAAATTAAAGAGCAACATGTTTTTGTTTTGTTTTTTTTATTGCATAGATGGGTGGACGAGCTCACAGCCCACCTGATGTTAAGTGGTTACTGGAGCCCATAGACATCTACAACGTAAATGTCGCCACCCACCTTGTGATAATATGAATTCTGAAGCCTCGTTATAGTACAATGGCTGGCCCACCCTTCAAACTGAAACGCATTACTGCTTCACGGCGGAAATAGGCAGGGTGTGGTACCTACCCGTGTGGACTCACAAGAAGTCCTACCACCAGCAATTACGAAAATTATAATTTTGCGGGTTTGATTTTAATGCCCGATGCTATTCCTTCATCGTGGAAGTCAATCGTAAACATTTGTTAAGTATGTATTATCTTTCATTAAAAAAATTGTTACCCGCTTGCGGGATTCAAACACCGTTGCATCGCTAGACACGAATTACCGGGTGTCTTACCCTTTAGGCCACGATGACTTTAGACTTCATGTTTTTGAATTACGGAAAAAATAATGTGTATGTTTGTTTCTGTGTGTGTGTAAATGTGTCAATATGTCAATAAATGAAATGAAACGCGTTATTTCTTTATGCAAAGATCCCTTTCAGAGTTATTTATCTCTGTTAACATAATATATTAAAATATAATTAATAAATAATTTATAAAAAAAAACTTTGTGGGATTGTCGAAGATAATGGACCTCAGTAAGTGGTAACATTAAAATTTTGGCATTGACTTCGTTGACAGTATTGTAACTTGACAATTTCAGACGACGGAATGTCATGAAACGTCTAACCAAAAAAAAACATTGTAAATTCCCATGTGCGTTTCCATGTGATACCAATAAATGTACATATAGTGGATATTTTTAGAAAAGGGGCACAATGGATTACGTTGTAGGAAGCGTTGCTGCTTTGGTTTCAGGTAACGTAACACCGAACCGTCCTAGATTACTCAAACGACCCCTAACGCCGACCAAGCACCAGCCCTCCCCAAATGTCACTCCCAAAAGTGAATTCGTCGAAGATCGCTCTATATTTCTGTCGCCAACATTACAAAAGAAGAAGGCTATGGTAAAGAAGTCACCGAAAAGAATATTTGAGAATCCTGATTTGGAGTTGACGGAAAATAGTGATACCACCACACCCAGTCCTAAAGCAGAAAAAGTAAAGAAACACTTAAAAAACGAGTTAGACAGTAATAGTCCCGTTAAATCTAAAAGCAGGAATAGCAGTTTATCCGAATGCTCATCAAAACTCGAAAAGGCTAGTGAAACAAACGAATGTCAGAATTCAGATGAGAATATCGTAAAGAAAAAAAAGAAAAAACAGAAATCTAAATCGGACAATACAAGTAATAAATTTAAAATTATTGATAGTCAATTAGAAATGATCCCAGCACAATCAGATGCTATTCATTCTCCATCAAAATGCAAACGGCGACGTAAATCAATAAGCCAGTCAAATGAAAGAGATGCTACTGATAATCCAGTAGAGGAATGTTCCAATATTAATTCAAAACAAATTGCACTACAAACTGAGGAGTCAGACAATAACATAACACCTGAAAGCCAAGTTGTAAAAACAAAAGCTAAAAAACGTAAGAAAAAATCTCAAACAAACTTGCAAAAAGTGAATGAGAACAAAGAAAATGATAAACAAGATTCAAACACAATGAAGAATAAAAATAAAAAGAAACAAATTAAATCTACAGACACTGAATACAGAAATTCGGATAATGTGTCAAAAGCTAAGAAAAAAGAAATCATAAATTTGAATGCAATAACAACAAAGGATTCGGACTCTGAACACGATTCCGATGACGATATCAAATGTCAAAATGAAGAAATCAATAAGAAAATTCTTAACACGGAGCCAGAAGAATCTTCGTCTGAAGAAGAAGAAGTGGCACAAACAAAAGAACCAAAAGAAGAGGTACCCGCAACTGTTTCTAGTGCAGAAGAAATTAGGAGAACTCTTTTCGTTGGTAATATTCCATACAGTAAAAAATGTAAGAAGGACATTAAAAAAATTTTTGGTAAATATGGACAGATTGAAACTATAAGGTGAGATTTAAATATTGAACTTATTTGAGTAGTACAAGCAATATAATCCAGCCATGTCATTAGCTATTAAACGTTGCAATGTTACTAACTGCCAAATCGGTAAGTGTCCAGTTTAGAACTCAACAATCTTACCCATAGACATCTCAGGACGCCATTGAACCATGCTTCTTAGCACTGGATGAGGTATTGCATCAACAAGCAAAGAATATTTTCTGATAATTTCAAAAACTCATAATTTTGTTTGTTGTACACCTAAAGAACAGTTAATTTGCACTTTTCAGAATCCGTACAGTTCCAGTGAAAGATGCTCGGTACTCACCCAAAATGGCACTAATCAAAAATGAACTGCATCCTGACAGAACCACTGTTAATGCTTATGTGAAGTTTAAGGATCAGAATTCTGTTAATGAGGTGATAAAATGTTAAAAATGTATTGTGTACAGTTTGAAGTACAGCTTCTGAAGCTTTCTTTCTAGTTACAATATATTCTTCCTTCCTTTCTTTCCTATTACCCTCTGCTGGGGTGTAGAGTTCGAATCAAATTCTTCCATTTGCATCGGTCTGGGGCTGTCTGTTCTAGCAATAATATATACGGGCTTCAAAAAAACGCACTCCAGAGAGAGAGAGAGGATACTGCTATGATTGAATGATGGAAGAAGCATCTCTCTTCACATTTTACTCTGCTTGAGTGGAAAATAAAGCATTTTAATATTTATTTGATGTGCAATTGTGAACAATGTCACGGTCCCCTGTAGTTAAATGATTATCAAAGCTCATAGACATTACAAGGTGGAAGGCTCACCTTGAGAAATGGGGGTTTAAATTTCAATTGTATAGTATAATGACTATCCAACTATCAATTCAAAACATATAACTGCATTACTGCTGTAATAGATTGTGTGACAGTAACTGGTGTAGAGAGCTTACAAGACACTTAACCACCAAAAATTATATAAGTTTAATAACTTGCAGATTAGCTTTTTACTATGCAATGTAATTCCTTAACTGTGGGAGAAATTCAAGAATGTATTGCTCCCAACTGAAAGGGGTCTGTTACTGTGTGATTGATAGATAGATTTTACTATCTATCCTGTTAGAAATCAGCAATAATTACCATGTAAAATTAATTATTTTGTACTTCATTCCAGGCCCTAGCAGAAAACAATACAGTGTTAAATGAAAACCATTTACGTGTCTCCAGAAGCGATACAACAGGGGCTGAGCATGACCCAAAACTGTCAGTCTTTGTTGGAAATCTGCCTTTCACTATTGAAGATGAAGTCTTGAGGTCGAAATTTGAGAACTGCGGTGAAATAGATTCGGTTAGAATCATTAGGGACAAAAAGACAAATGCTGGAAAAGGTAAAAGTTTCAAACGATTCAGTGATTTTAATTACACAGTTAAGCAGCTTATACAGTTGGGAGTTGATGCTGTAGAGGAAGGCGTTGAATGTGATCATGATGAGATGCAGTATTAATCCCAGCTGTTTAGTTAAAGTATTATAAACAGAAGTGGATAATTACAATTGAATATGCAATTTCAAACAGGGCACCTGTTGCATATTTTGTCAAATACGTTTTTTCATATACATGTAGTTTTGAGGCTTACCTACACCCATTTTATAGTAATTCCACTGATTTTCAATTGCTAATTAACACTAAAATATATCTCAAAAGTGCATATTTTAAATTTTACACTGATTTAGAAAATAATTAGTTTTTTTTCATTTCCTGAACATTTTACATTTTCAGAGATGTGCCCTTTTCGAAATTGCATATTCAATCACACTAACAAGTAGTGTGTCACTAGTCAAACCCCTCACTGTATTTGGTGATAGGAGGATAACCTTTGATAAAAAAATGGATTCACTGTTGTTTTAAAATAATCGATTGTCACAAGTTAGATTTAGATCATTCAAATTGCGCTGTATGTCTCCTGCTCCTTCTAACACCACGTTGGATTCAAACTTGTTTTCATCTGCACCGAAATAATATTGGTTTCCTTACGCTTTTATCATTGCTAAATCAAAATCAAATCAAAATCAAAAAATTTTTTATTCAACATAAATGAAAGTACATACTTGTTGAACGTCAAAAGAACTACCTAATACTAAAGAACTAAAATAATTGGCATACCTAGTTAAAGCTGTTGAGATGTGGATTCAAGGCAACTTGAGCATTTCTTTATTCATACACATGTTTATATGGTTTATTTATTGTTTAAATATAGGCTATACAAGATCATGGCAAAATATAAATACAATTTAATTGAAATAACAATAATCATACAATCACTTTTTACTAAATCCATTCAATTTTACTTGTAAAGATGTACACAACATTTTACTGGTGGTAAGACCTCTTGTGAGTCCGCACGGGTAGGTACGACCACCCTGCCTATTTCTGCCGTGAAGCAGTAATGCGTTTCGGTTTGAAGGGCGGGGCAGCCGTTGTAACTATAATTGAGACCTTTAGAACTTATATCTCAAGGTGGGTGGCGCATTTACGTTGTAGATGTCTATGGGCTCCAGTAACCACTTAACACCAGGTGGGCTGTGAGCTCGTCCACTCATCTAAGCAAAAAAAAAAAAACATTTATGTTGCATAACACATCACCTGTATAGCTATCTACAGATAAACTGCTATTAGGCATATCAGTGATGCGAAATCACAAGATTTCACCCATCCAAAAACCGCCATACGCGCACAGCACACGGTCAGGTTTATACGAAATATTACAATGTCGGTGACGTAAACCCATATGATTTTCCCCTACCAAAAAGTGCTCAAAGCAGCTAAATAAATTTTCACTTCAAAATCATTCATTCTTTCACAGGGTTCGGTTATATAAACTTCAAATCTAAAGACGGAGTGGAATTGGCATTAAACATGTCTGAAGAGGATTTGACCATCAAAAACAGAATATTACGTGTCAAGAGATGCACACAACAAGCTCAGACAGGCAACAAAGTTAATCGCAACAAACCATCGAAGTTCTACAATCAACAGCAAAACGGGGATGGTGCGAAAGGCTTTGGTAATCGTCAAATGGGCAACAGACAGGGTGGGGGGCAAAACGGCAGGCAAGATGTGAGGCAACAAGGACATTTTGGTTTTGGAAATAGACAAACGGGCAACAGACCGGATCGGGGACAGCAAGGCAGGCCAGACTTTAGGCAACAAGGACAGTTCAGTGGTAATCAACAGGACGGTGCTTATAGAAGAGTTATGAATAAGAGGAAGAATCAGGTATTATTCAATTTTCTATTCAATCAAATAGTGGTAGGCAGCGACTTGGCTTTGCCCCTGGCATTGCTGAAGTCCATGGGCGACGGTAACCACTTACCATCAGGTGGGCCGTATGTTCGTGTGCCTACAAGGGCAAAAAATAATAATTAGTGTTTTCTCAGCGTTTCCATTCAGGTATGGTATATTAGTGGCTTGGTATTGTACACCTTGAAGAATACATTGATTTATAAATCTCATTTCTGTCAATGGCTCTGAAACTCATAATTGTTTTGCTACTCCTCTTGTATCCCGATTTAATTTTGTATTGGGTTGAAAAATTATTTCTTTTATTTCTTATAAAATATTAAAAATGATCCTACACTAGTGACTTCCTTTGTAATTTAGTATCAAAATTTAGAATTATTGTACTTTCAGGAATCGAACGACGGTCCGCCTAATAAAAGACAGAACTTCAATCAACCAAAAGAAAAAATCCGGAAAGAGTTTGTAGGAGTCACCGCTGAGAAGAAAAAGGTGATCTGACCCCTCACATTCAGCTTCAAAATAAAACAGAGGCGGCCATAAGGGCTGCCGACAGAAGTGAACACTTAAATCAAATATCAATAACAATGTTAGAAATATTCGACACTTAGTAGTATTTTTTGTACTTAACAAATGTTCACAATTGACTTCCACAGTGAAGTAATAACATCGTGTAATAAAAAATCACACTCTTAAAATTATAAGTTGCCTAATTACTGGTGGTAGGACATCTTGTGAGTCCGCACGGGTAGGTACCACCACCCTGCCTGTTTCTGCCGTGAAGCAGTAATGCGTTTCGGTTTGAAGGGTGGGGCAGCCGTCGTAACAATACTGAGACCTTAGAACTTATATCTCAAGGTGGGTTGCGCATTTACGTCATAGATGTCTACGGACTCCAGTAACCAATTAACACCAGGTGGGCTGAAAGCTTGTCCACCCATCAACTAATTTTTTTTGTTTGTTTCAGAAACGCAAGTTTGATAAAGGGCAGAAGAAAAAGAGAGCGCTCAGTGAGATACTGACGAAGTAACGCTGGGGCGCTGCGGATAATAAATGTTTTAATGTTTAGATTACTGTTTTATTTATACTGCGCCGATTTTTGTGGGGGTGTCCGGGGGTACAAATAAATGTTTCGTGAAATTCGTCTATCTAATAAAAATCTGAAAACTCATAAGAGCTGTTTTGTAGACAGACGAGCATGCAACTTAGGCAGTCGCCGTTGCTCGGAACCGATACGTACGTATCTAAAGAAAGTGTCAGAGCGTTACTTCGACAAAGCGGCGCGACACGCAAACCCTTTTATCGTGGCTGCCGTTAATCACTTATCTGGTCCAGGCGACAGCAACGCAGAGTCGCTGTCACCTGAGGCATGTATTTTCGGATCCCAGATCCACCCTCGGTACTTTTAGGTTCCTCAAGCACCGGTCACCGTCTTCGTCGAACTCGTCGACTACGAAGTAGAGTTCGACGCGTGAACTAACCCATAGACACAGCCCAGTGGTTTTCTCGCTGGATCTTCTCAGTGGGTCGCGATTCCGATCCTGTCTTAGATACAGCGAAGCACAAGCGTGAGCTCACCTACCCGTGAGGAAGTAGCTGGAATAGCCTTTTCGGCCGTCGGCGAATAGGTAGGGAGGGGAAAAAGGTCGCCGTTGCTCATAGATAATGACAGGAACATACCAAGCCGCTTGTTTGGTCGAGTAAAGAATAAGTCTGTAATGATGCACGATATCCTCAAGGATCGAAGCGCCAGCCGCTCAGCCAGTGAAATAAAACCTGCTCTACGGAGTGGACCATGCGATCTGTTATAACTAGACTGCGAATAGCTAAAGTTGAAAATCGACACTTCTTTATTTATTGGCCCTGTAGGAAGACGCGCATACGGTCCACCTGACGGTGAGTGGTTACCGTTGCCTCTGGACTTCAGCAATGCTAGCGGCAGAGGTAAGCCGCCGCCTACCGTTAAGTACTCTCCACAAGCCTCGTTGAAGAACATGTCGTAGTGCACGGGAAACACCGTGGAGGAGAGTTCATTCCAAAGCCGGATGGTACGTGGTAAAAAGATTTCTGTGGATGAACGCAGTGACTCCAGGTAGTTTGGATGAACTCTACTCCGGTGGCGGGCGGTACGATGGTAAAAACGAGATGATGCTATCATATCAAACTATTCCTCAGAGCACTACTCATGGAACATACTGTAAGTACTCGTCAAATTACCGGCAGTTGGAAAATTCACAATTAAACGAACTGAAAAGGCGCATAGAAAACTTTTTTTTATCGCATAGATGTGTGGACGAGCTCACTGCTCACCTGGTGTTAAGTGGTTACCGGAGCCCATAGACATCTACAACGTAAACGCCGCCACCCACCTTGAGATATGAGTTCCAATGTCTCAGTATAGTTACAACAACAACATTATTATTACTGGTGGTAGAACCACCGCCCTGCCTATTTATGCCGTGAAGCAGTTATGCGTTTCGGTTTGAAAGGCGGGGCAGCCGTTGTAACTGTACTGAGACCTTAGAACTTGTATCTCAAGATGCGTGGCGCATTTACGTTGCAAATGTCTATGGGCTCCAGTAACCACTTAACACCAGGTGGGCTGTGAGCTCGTCCACTCATCTAAGCAATTAAAAAAAATTACTAGTGTATGCTTTCGTTAAATCGCCCAAAGCTTAGTAGTGTGTTGTTTCTTCATTTTCGCTTAAAGCAGACTCCCAGAGTCAATTTATAATGAGGAAATAGAGCTTGTATAAAATAAAACAGTTTTAAATATTTGGTACAGTTTTATTGTATAATTGTCATTACAAAAAAATGTCAAAACTAGCATACAAACAATCACAGTGTAACACTTTCAACGTACAACAACTTAACGTGTAGACCGTTCGCATCGATGTTAAGTGCACACCGATTACTTCGACCAACCAGAGTAGACATTAGCGTGAAATTCATTAAAAAAAATTCATTAAAATCGATATGATTCAAAAATTATCGATAGCAGTGACACCTCGCACTTTGTATCTAAATAATTACGCCGCAATTAAAACTAAACATATTCACCGAAGTGTATATACCGTGCTAACTGTACAATTACTAAAGTAAGGTTCTATTTCACTACGCTGATGAAAGAAAGTCGATCAGTTTCACAAGGAATCTGTCAAAAATATTTACTAGTACAGCATAGATAATCTAAATTGATTTGAAACAAACTTTAATCAGCTTTATTAATTTCTAAGTAATCGACCGATTGACTTCAAATATCCTTTATTTTTTGCCAGATTTGAGTCTGGTGTATTCTTATTTAAATCAATAATAAATTGCTCTAACACAGATATATTAGAATTGAATTGGCACAGCCTTTGAAACAAATCGACTAAATTATATTGTCGAATTCAAGATGGCGTTTTCTTGATGATGTCTCGATTAAATCGTCTTTCGGTTTTGATTGAGCAGTATTCGGATAACGTTTGATGCAATGCAAGTGAAGTTCGCGGGCGCGGATACAGGAAGGCTCCACTATGGTTGAACGCCTTATTGTTACTAAAAATCGTTCAACCAACAAATAAATCTGTCGATTTTATGTAAAAATTCAAACATTGCAAATGCGATATTCAGTCTTGACAATGTTATATTTATTTACGGTCCTGCAGTAATGGTGAATACTTAAATTACACAATACGAGCTCTGAGAACGCAAACATTTATTAGATTTACATACTTCACACAATTAAAAAAAAAACATCGTCATAAGACGATTGTAATATTAGGTGGTTCTTTATAATAAAAAAGATATGTAATAAAATGAGCATCTCAAGCTTTTTTTTAACGAATTATTACTGAATCTTGTGACGCTATAAAAACTTGGGAAACTTAAAGGAAATTCGACTATAAAATTGTTCCCAAACAAAAACCCTGTATCCGCTCCCGTGTAATTGTGATGGTTCTTCATAAAAACCACACTCGTCTATGGCACCATCTTAATCTATGGTAACTCACGTGTTCAATTATCTCTAACATTTCATGTCGATACAATGTTCCTTATATTACAAAAAAAAAAAGTCCTTTACCAGTATTATTATCGTATGTATTAAATCCACAACGTGTTTCGTCGCTGCGCCCTGCCTATCAGCCGTTCACATCCCAGTAACGTTTCGATCGTTGAACTAACTTCTAGAACGTTCTATCCGAAATTAAATAACTAAAAGCGTCGCCCGGGTACCCGCCGTGTACGTGCGTACTCTACAGCTCGTTTATAAATACAGTACTACTATTTACATTGCGACTAAAGTCATTTAAGGGACAAACAGCGGCCTCGCCCGCCAGCCGCCATGCGCTCCCTAATTACTATTAATATAATCCAGTCGAAACACTCACGAGGGAATGTTTCGACTGTAATCATACGGTACATAAGCTAACACCTCACCGCGTCACACAACCGAGTCCGTAGCGCGATCCGTCCAGGATTTCGCATTTAATTCCGTTTGAATTTCAGGATCGTGAGGGTTACGATGAGGAAGAGCGCGATCCAGGCCAACGTCGACACGAAGCCCATGTACACGTCCGAGTCCGTGAAGGGCCAGCCCCGCGTCAGGATGGACCGCAGCGAGTTCGTGGCCAGGGTGAGGGGCAGGCAGAGGGACACGTAGCGCAGGATCCAGGGCATCCCTTCGATGGGCCAGATCACCCCGCTCAGCAGCAGCGTGGGGTAGAACGAACCCAGGGCCAGCTGGATCGCGTTCCGCTCTAGCTCGCAGGCGGCCGATATCACGAACCCGAAGCACATGCCGCACAGACCTGGAGAGATTGTGAGATTGAAATGGAAGTCCTATACGCACCTCGAGCACCATAGTCCTCTCGCTATGTACCTTTTTTTTTATTGCTTAGATGGGTGGACGAGCTCACAGCCCACCTGGTGTTAAGTGGTTACTGGAGCCCATAGACATCTACAACGTAAATGCCGGCATCCACCTTGAGATATAAGTTCTAAGGTCTCAAGTATAGTTACAACGGCTGAACCGCCCTTCAAGCCGAAACGCATTACTGCTTCACGGCAGAAATAGGCGGGGTGGTGGTACCTACCCGTGCGGACTCTCAAGAGGTCCTACCGCCAGTAAAAACCTTGTACCTTGTACAGTAAAAACCAGTACCTTGCAGCAAAGTCAGCATGATAACGAAGACGATGTTCCCATTATTCTTGACGCCGAACACCGATATCATGAAGATGAGCACCAGCGCCGTCTGCCCGCACATCACCACGAACTGGGTGACGACGTGCGAGAACAGGATCTCTCCGGGAGACACTCCTGCCACCCAGGATCGGTCTAGGAGGCCCTCCATCCGTTCCACGATCAACGCTGACGATGTCAAGGCCACGGCGAGGAAGAATACGATGCTGGAATACGTCAATATAAATCATACAGTTAATAAACAATACGGTGTTAGGTCAGACGTCGTCCCGCTGTTCCGACACTGGGTTCGATTCCCGGATGCACTCAACTTTGGGAAAGATATTTGATATTCTCTGTGTGTGATTCCGGTACCAACAACAACAGCAGGGAGTCGTAACTTGAAGCCGCATTACGTCAAACATTCATTTCCAACAGAGTCTTTTTAAATTAACTGATAAATGAGGCTCTCTCTCTCTCTTTCGCTCTGTCTCTGTCGAGAACTCTCAATTGCCTAACAGTAAACCCCCATCTAACGAATATAATATTATATTGATATCTTAGCTATATTTTTATTGTAGGTATTTAATATTTTTCTTAATTATTTAATAATGCGCATAAAGGTTTTTAATAGTCCACTCTCTAAAATTAAATATTATTAACAGTACACCATGACACATCTACCGTTATTTCTTTTTAAAAAGCCACTAAAAAAACGGTTGTCTGGAAGAGATCGGTTTTAGCGATAAAACCGCCTATTGTACAATTATACCTGCCTCTTGTTAATTATGTTTAAGTGTGTAATTAAGTATAATCTCTCTCCTTATAATAATTCGCCTTGCTGTCATCAATGTGGATGAAAACAGAAGGTATAAACAAAACGCAAATAGCTAAATAAATTAAAATTATCATTAAAAGCTTGCAGGCGTCCATTGGTATAGGCTCCTCAAGGTTCAGCATGGTGACCTTTTACAGGTCGTCGTTGGTCGAAGTGCTCGCTGTAACCTCGAAATCCTTCCAGCTGTGCGGTAACTACGGTTCTTTTGAGAATCTCCTCATCCTTAACTCAATCACGCAAAGAAACTCCGGACATATCCTTTTCGATGTCCTCGGATAGACTGCGCTGTGAGGTACCCCGTTAAAAATGCAAAAAGTCAATTTCCGGTAGGCAGCGGCTTGACTCTGTTGATTGCTGATGTCCATTAGTGACGGTGATCACTCATCATCAGGCGGGTCGTGTGCTTTCTTTTTCTTCTCAATCGTATCACTCTTGACAGAGTGGCCGTGATCGTAGGATCGATTGGAAGGGGCAGACTTGATTCGTCTCACGATGTCCCGCCATCTCTCCCTGCTCGAGACCATTCTTTTCCACTTATTTAGGGTACCTCCCACTGTTGTTTTAATTTGGCCCATCGCATTGGTCGTCGTCTGCATAAAAGGGCAATAATAAAAACTAAATGCAGCGTTGTACTCACGTTAATATGACGCCGGGAGCTACGAAGTCTGTGAACGAAGGGTTCTTATTCCCGTATATGGGGTCCATGAAGTCGATCGGGATGTCGCCCAGCTTCGGGTTGTAGTCGCAAGTCTCCAGCAGGCCCTGCGGATTGAAGCTCATGGTCCACTCGCTGCTGGTGGAGTACACGGACATCACAGCGATAATGCCTATACCCACCTAGATACATGAGGTTGTATCTCTCATAAGGCATCGCAAGACTCTTAGGCGCATACAATGTGACGTCTTTACAAATACCCTCAATTTTACCGTATTAAATTCCACTGTATTATAAGTAAGCGTCAGATTTTTATCTTTTGTTTTAAATGATTTGGAAGAATGATCATTATCTCTAACAATATATGAGCATATTATATTGAGCCCGCCCGATATTGACATCAGATTTGAATCTTTTCTTTTAAATAATTTAGAAAAATAGTCATTGTCTTTAATAATATGAGTATATAGGCATTTTATATTGAGTTCGTCCAATATAATTTATTACATTTTATTGCCTTTGTATGTAGACGAGCATACGCCCTACCTGATGGTGTGTCGTACCGTCGCCCTTGGACATCAGCAACGCCAAGTCCCTGCCTACCATAAAGGTGGACGGAGACGATCTTCGGGCTTGGGTAGCTGGCGACACCAGCGCGTTCGACCGATTAACACTACATAGGAGACTGCGCTACAACCTGTCAACAACTCAGCGTTACCTTAGCGAAGTCCCTGTACGAGAACTGTATGTCCCGGTTGAGCATAAGTCCGATCTGCTGGTTGGACATGTCCAGCCAGACTTGAACCTCGGACGACGTCACTGTCTCTTCATCGGCCGTGTCAGCTGCGGGGTTATTAAAACATTCAAACATACAGATAATAGGTTTTTGGCCGGCGCTACGACTAGGAACACATTTAGGTTAAGGATAACTACTCCAAGTGGCTTCAACCAAGGACCGAACCGGGAATGTGGAGCAGTGATCACTAATTTCCCTTAGATTGGTACATAAATAAGTAGTCTAAGTTATTTAACATTTGACGCTGACGAAGGTGGTAGGTCGAAGGTGGAAGGTGGTTAACTGATGGTAGGACCTCTTGTGAGTCCGCACGGTAAGCAGTTATGCGTTTCGGTTTGAAGGGTGGGGCAGCCTTTGTAACTATTCTGAGACCTTAGAACTTATATCTCAAGGTGGGTGGCGCATTTACTTTGTAGATGTGTATGGGCTCCAGTAACCACTTAACACCAGGTGGGCTGTGAGCACGTCCACCCATGTTAGCAACAAAAATTGTAAATTTCTACCCCCCCCCCCCCAATAGGGGTCTGAAATCTCAAGAGACATGAAGGTGAAGTCTACGAAGTATTATATGCGAATAACGGCAGGCAACGGTAGGAAACGCGCTTTGCCCATTCCTGCCGAGAAACTGAAATGTGTTGGCACTGCAGCAAATATTACCACCGCTTTTTTTTTATTGCTTAGATGGGTGGACGAGCTCTCAGCCTACCTGGTGTTACGTGGTTACTGGAGCCCATGGACATCTATGACGTAAATACGCCACCCACCTTGAGATATGAGTTCTAAGGTCTCAGTATAGTTACAACGGCTGCCCCACCCTTCAAGCCGAAATGCATTACTGCTTCACGGCAGAAATAGGCGGGGTGGTGGTACCTACCCGCGCGGACTCACAAGACGCTTACGTTTAATTTGAACTCTTGTCCATGCTGGATGTAGCTATTCCCATTATAACGTCTGTCGGGACTGCTAAGCACAAGGTGGGATATGCCCTTAAATTATCTTTAATCGTGTTGTTTGACAGAGTCGCTGCCAAGCCGTTAGATGGTATTAGAGTTAAAATCTTACCCAGAGCCAATCTAGCGACCAAAGAATCCGTATAATTCTCATTGAAGTACAGAGCGCCCCAGGCTTCACCCTGACGGACAGCATCCAGCGCTGACGACAGATCAGCGTAGTACTCCTTTATCATGTGGTCGCTCAGGTTGTCCAGGTATCGGCAGGAGAGGTTCTTCATTGAGCAGGTGTGGTTGTAGGGACAGTCGCCGTCTATTATCCTCACGTCTTCGTTGACTACGGCCTGTTGATGCGATTCGGATTATTGTGGTGGTTCACGACACATCGTTAGTAAGCTCCTTGTGGCTTAAAGTATGATGCGACTGTAGTGGTGATCGCGCTCAACATGTACTCACGAATGACTTCGACGATGAAGCAATAAAATCGTGCAATAAAAATCAAATTCCCAAGTTTTATAAGTCTTTGTAGTCACTAGTGGTGGAAGAATTGTGGTTCGCTCGGGTCCTGGCTTGTTTCGTCGTGAGGCTGCCATCATTCCGGTTTTTTTATTAGCTTAAGTTAGTAGACGAGCTCACGGCCCACCTGGCGTTAAGTGGTGACCGGATCCCATAGACATCTACAACGTAAATGCCGCCAACCACCTTGAGACATGAGTTCTAAGGTCTCAGTATAGTTACAACGGCTGCTCCACCCTTCAAAGCGAAACACATTACTGCTTCACGGCAGAAATAGGCAGTGCGGTGGTACTTACCCGTGCGGACAAACAAGACGTCCTACCACCAGTAAATGAAGGTTTTTAGAAGAAGACAGTAATTATTCAAATCAACTGAAATCAAGACTAATTTGGCGGACAGGTTTTCTGTCTACCTAAGTGCGTGTAGTCACGATAGACTATTCTAGCTTCACCCTGACTTGTAGGCGAGCTCACGAGGCTCAGCCCCAGAGAATCCGCTAATATTACCCCTAGCAAGAGTAGTTCTCGGCTGAATTTACTAACGGATCAGTAATACAGCTCATTGAAAATATCTGGTGGCTCATGTTGTAATATTCATAGATTCCGATAACCACTTAACAGGACATGGAGCACAAATTCGCTCACACAACCATGCAACAAAAGTAGTATTATAAACTCCATTCTTGTGTACAATAAAGAATTAATAACAAAAATACTCACGATCCGTAGTCCTGTCGGATCCCTTCCGATGGCCAGACAGAAGAGAATGACTTGCATCACTGGGAGAACGAAGATGAACAGCATCACGCCGATGTTCCTCCACATGCGCAGGAAGTTCTTCTGGATCAACGCTTTTATCTTCCCTCTTGACGTCAGCTGGAATGATCACGTAAGCTTTGTAGTAAATGAGCACTCCCTTCTCGCTGTGAAGTAGCCGTGCGGTCCACTCGTGGGTCCACCGGCCGAGTCTTGGGTCTCATGTGTCGTACAGACATACAAACAGTCATGCTATGATTCAGCAGCTGTGAGAGCTCGTTCTGCTGCTAATTCCCTACTTATAGTGTCTGTGTTTTTACTTTATTTCCTTACAAAAATGATTAGTAGGAGTTTTTTAAGGTTCATGGGTGTTTTTAATATATTTTATTCCGCTACATGGGTAAAGGACACAGAGCGAAGGACCAGTTGAGTGTTTGAAGGTGAAGAGAAGGTCGGGGCAATAAAACAGAGGATCCCAAGCGCCGAGAATCGATAGATTATGGAAGATACCTCAAGCATATCTAAAACACTGTAAAAATCCGCTCATAAATAAATCATCACCTAAATCACAGTGACTTTTGCTAATGGAGAATCGTGGCGCCTGAGTCACGTTCGTTTCTTTATGCACTAGTGAGTATGCGTGAGCATGGTTATGAAGTGTTCTTGCGTCGCGTGTGTTTGTGTGTGTGTGTGTGCATACGGGATTGTTATTGTTGTTGTTAATTGACTTTATACCAATTTCGAGACCGCTGATCTGCTGGCAATGCAAAAACACGAAGAGAAACATTCGCTTTTAATACTTTTCAGATAGTTTTGGATAAATATTTGTTTATATATTAGAATCGAACTTACATTGAAACAATTCCCGCAGTCTTCGCACTCCGCGGCCACGACCTCCGTGACTTTACCGGGAATCTGAAAATAAATTCACGATAAATCGGTTATTTTTACTAAGCACCATTATGTCAACTCCTGCCGACTACCGGTCGTGTTTTAACGTTTGTAACGACATTCGCGGCGATGTCCATGGCCTCTAATAGTTACCGGGCAATAAAAAACGTATAAAGACATTTGGAACTCACGTCTCCGTTAGACCCAGCTCCGTGGTCTACAATGAGCACCTCTTTGGACTGGTGGAAGTTCAGGCCCACGACCTGCCCGTCCTCGGCCGCGTAGGGCGCCTCCTCGCGCTTGCACATCTTGTTCAGACCGAGGGCTCCTCCGCCGGTCACGTTTAGTTCCACTACTTGATTCGATTGACCTGAAAAGAAAAACATTACTCGTTCAAGTTACTTAACAAGGACGGTATTGTATCTATCAAAGTCTATGTTGCTTTAAAATGACAACGAAAACCATATTAGAAACACCATTTTGATGTTTCATAACGATGTTTCTCATTTCTCATAACGATGATCAAAATGATGTTTCTAATATGAAATTTCTATTTGAAACATGATTTTGACCCCCCTTAAAACGTCGGACTAACTCGAAATTTGGCATACTTATTAAGGACCGAAGACAATTCAATATATATAAAAAATATATTGAAATAATTGAAATCCAACTAAAAAATAAAAAAATATTTTATTGTAAAAAAGCGTGGGTTGCTATTCAGGATATTATCAAAATAACCCTTCTACACACATCTGTTCATAAAATATTTACAACTACTGATACCATGCACCACACGCTTTTTTTACAATACAATCATTATTTCTTATACTATTTTTAATTCAAATTTATTAAAATTTATTTTACGTTTTTTAGTTGGATTGTCTAGATTTTTTTTTTTGTTTTTTTGAACTATTATTTATTATCTAATGTGTTACGACTGTGTTAGAATATCAAATGTGATCATAGGAAAAGTTTATTTTGTGTTATCGGCTTATCTTTATCGGAAGCGGTCCTGGGACTCAATATAGGAAAAGGAGCATAGTTATTATCTCATGTTATTAACTCTGTGGACTCTGGTAACTACTAAAAAACAAGCGGCCTAGGAGAAGGTAAATTAGTTGAGTCATACGCACGTGTTGCAAGCAATACCTTCAGGAGTATCCACTATATGTGTGCTTAGTGTGAGTTTTTTAACGTTCTCGTTAGCGTAAAAGTTAATTCAAATTTCTATGTAGTTGGAACGTTTGCCTACGTTTGCCGCTAGGGGCGCTGTTCTATCTGCATACAAATTAGAGTTAACTTTTACGCTATCGAGAACGGTAAAAACTCACACAAGCACAATGATTAACTCGCAGACTAAATCCTATTCATGTATATAATATATACGATTCATTTTGATGTCGTTTTTTGCATCAAAATTCAGTGACTGTACTAAATAAGTTTCAATTTCAAATATACATAATAATATGTAAATCTTATAATATTGTGTAGTACATTTATATGTAGAACAACCTGTTTCAAAATTCAAAGAACATTAAACAGATAATCATTTATTATAAACGTTCGAGAAAATTTCCAACACGTGAATGTTTTGTGTCGACAATAATTTACGTAATTCCCCGAGATCGTAGTCTTAATTATACGATACGACACGATATAATATACGATTATCGTACGTAGTCAGACGTCATCATGCACTTTAAGTATTGGATTATTTCTACTTTATGAGTATAGAAAGAATCAACGTGAGAATATTAGAGATTTTTTATTGCTTTGATGGGTGGATGAGCTCACAGCCCACTTGATGTTAAGTGGTTACTGGAGCTCATGGACATCTGCGACGTAACTACGTCACCCACCTTGAGATATTAGTTCTCTCAGTATAGTTACAACGGTTGCACCCACCCTTCAAATCGAAACGCATTACTGCTTCACGGCAGAAATAGGCAGGGTAGTGGTACCTGCCCGTTCGAATTCACAAGAGGTCCTACCACCAGTAATTACGCAAATTATAATTTTGCGGGTTTGATTTTTATTACACGATGTTATTCCTTCACCGTGGAAGCCAATCGTGAACATTTTTTGAGTACGTATACCATTAGAAAAATTGGTACCCGCCTGGGATTCGAACACCGATGCATCGCTCAATACGAATGCACCAGACGTCTTATCTTTTAGGCCACGACGACTTCTAATAATATATTTCGATGTTAAGCTTGTATGCAATGTTTGAAGCAAAAAATAATTTACATTCCCTTGTTTGTTAATAAGATTCTTATTAATTATATAGTAGGTATATATACTTTTTGTTATTGTCAAAAAAACTAAGGATTAGCGTTCTAAAGTTAAGAATTATCAACTTTATAGCGCCAACATTAACCAACAATTTTTTTTCTAAGTACATATTTGGTTATTAATTAATATTTTTATCATCATCATCATCTCAGCCTGTCCATTGTCCACTGCTGAACATAGGCCTCTCCAAGTGATCTCCAGTGCGGCCGGTCCGTTGCCACCTGCATCCAACGTGACCCAGCGGTTCTTACCAGGTCGTCGGTCCATCTCGTAGGTGGCCGTCCCACACTGCGCTTGCCAGTACGTGGTCTCCACTCGAGGATCTTTCCGCTCTTTAATATTTTTACTAGTATTAAATATGAATTTCGGATTTGTTTAGCAACACTGCCATTATGATCTTGTGACATGAACGCACAATGAGGTTACATGTAATATGGCTTCCGATGTATCCAATTCTAGCAACGTTTCACAAATACGCAGCCTTGTGTTGCGAGGTGTTGCAAGGCGCGATGCGACGCTCTGATGCCTTTGCGCTCGATTATCAAACAAATTTATTCTAGTTTTGATTAAAATCATTTTACTATCATAAAAAACTGTACGATATGTCGGAAACGGTAAAATAAAATTAAATACATTAAAATTCAAATGTAATGGTCAACTTTTCGAAATCCGTAAATGAAGAGATATAAATTTTTATCTTCTAATTGTATAGTCACGGATGTTGGATCGGACGGGCATTGAGATTCGGGAAACATTCGAACTTATTTACTTGGATTGAGTGATCGGTCATGAGTTGAGGTCGGAGTAGGTAGATTGATTTAAGGTCGTTGACGTCAAACGTAGAGGATAATATGGATATGCCTCCAAAATACCGGAACTTCATATTTATAGTGATATTTGTTCCGGAATTTTGAAATTAGTATGAATCTGTGCTTAAGGTGAAAAACGTATTAATAATATTAATCTACACAACCAGTGCTAGCGAATGGTGAAAGAAATCAGTATTTTATTTTATACCAAAACACCCTAGAATAGTTACACCGTATTTTGTCCCTATCTGTTGAATTAGAAATTACGCTTGTCAGTATGAGACAAAACTTAGACAGGGCTTTTTTTTTTACTTTATCTCATAAATATAGAAATTGTATACGACGAGGATTAAAAATTCTTTTCAATTTAAAAAAATATCCATTATGTATAAAATGACATGTCCATATTATAATATCTTGACGAAAGTATATAAAATCAATCTACCTACTCCGACCACTGGTCAGGAGTGACGCGACGTGGGGTTGACGTTACAAAGGGTTAAAACCACCCCGGCTACTCCGACTTAATGATTGCATCATATTCGTGCTCACAGTGAAAACTTTCTGTTGATGTCCATTAGCGAGGTAATTAGATATTATTATATTATTGTTGTAATTTGTTAACATGTTTCTGCAAACCCGCGTCGTCATGAAGCCTTATGCTTGACTGCTTTTTATCTGAAGGGGCCAGGAACTTTCGTATATACAAACATATGTTGTATGTATGATCGGTTCGTTGACCTAACCGTGCCACTAACCACCACACCGCGCCTTCCGTTCCCGGTCGCATTAAGGCTTTTAATACGCTTTTATTAGCTTCATACGTATGTTAGTATGTAACGGAATATTTGAACATGATTCTGACCCTCTTCAAAACGTCGGATTAACTCGAAATTTGGCATACTTATTAAGGACCGATGATAATTCAATATTTTTAACAGTTTGATCCGTTATCCTTACGGATTACGGTTGAGATAATCAGGATTAGCGATTTTTTATTTTCCTGAAACACGGAGTGTCTGCGTCAAGACCAAGAAGGGAAACTACCAGGCGCGTCAATCACCTATTTCTCGGATAAGTTATCAAATGATTCAGATGATATTTATGAAAAATTCAATTAAAAAATTAAAAATAAATAATAATTAAAAAAAAACTAAAAACTACGCTTTTATAGGAAATCCAATTAAAAATTAGGAAATAAATTTTAATAAATTTGAATAAAAAATAGTGTAAGAAAAAACATTTTTATTGTACAAAAAAAAGCGTGGGGTGCTTGTCAGGATATTATCAAAATAACTCATATTTGTTCATAATACATTTATAACTATTGATAACATGCACTCCACGCTTTTTTTTACAATAAAACTCATTTTATATTTAACATTCAAAATCGTGTTTCATTTTGTCGTTTGTTTATGGTGGTTTCAAGTCGACAATTGTCACAAACAAGACTCGATTATATTTATAATATACTAGCGACCCGCCCTCGCTTCGCTTCGGAAACTGTAATTTATTATGGATAGCGGCCCGCTCCGGCTCCGTTCGAGTCTAACAAAAATTTCAACGATATTTCACGTTGTTTTATTTTTTTAAATAAAAGAACACTTATTGCGGCATAGCTATAATAGTTAGACATATGCTATCGCGATACTTTTTGTAATTACTAATGTGTTCTACAAATTCGTAGTACATTATTTTATCCTATCATCAATAGTTTTCTCAGAGCACGCGACGTAAAGAATATTTTAGGTAATTTTTTTAAAGCTTGGGTTACATTATTGGAGTTTTAGTAAAGATCCTTAATTTTTTCAAAATAGAATATGGCCTATGTCACTCGGGAATAGTGTAGCTTCCAAATAGTGAATTTTTTTTTTAAATTGGTTCAGTAGCTTCGGAGCCTATTCAATACAAACAAACAAACAAATATTTTCTCTTTATAATATTAGAATAGATTTCTCCACTATTTAATGGATGTTGTGGCGGGTAGCCATCATACAACGCAAGATAATTGACAGATACCTGAATCTCACTTACGACGTTTTCAAGATAAAGCGCATATATACAAGTTCCGAATCCGAACAACAGCACTCGGACCGTCGGTCTACCGAGCAATATCACCCGTTCGGTGGAAGATCTTCCCTTTGTCGTATATCTCCCCAAAATGTTATTATACATATAAACCTTCCTCTTCAATCACTCTATCTATTAAAAAAAATCGCATCAAAATCCGTTGCGTAGTTTTAAAGATTTAAGTATACATACGGACAGATTAGGGACAGAGAAAGCGACTTTGTTTTATAGTTTAAAGTAGTGATTTCGGAGGTTGGGAACTAGGGTGTTGTGTAGAAACTAGTAGCAATGTGACACGGATCCTAGTGGAAGTAGGTCGAGGAGTCGGATTACCCCTATCTTATGTATCAACAGCTGGACGTAAATCACGTGAGGTCTATCCTAAGATGATATACTGAAAAGTGTCTCATATATCAAAGTTGTTCGCTCACCCTGTTTTCTGGATAGTTTTAGGAAGACATCTTCCAACGATATGCAGCTGTACATTCTAAGTAAGGCCTGAGGGGACTCCTCGGCGAGGAGACGACCGCTCCTCATCAGACCAATCTGAAATAAAACGAAAAATAAAATTAGGAATATTTTATTAATGAACATGTATTTTCTACATGGATATCAAGTTTCAAGTCAATCGGATGCATAGTTCAGTAGTTATAACGGAACATCCGTAAAAACCACTGTAGATTTATATATTAGTATAGATTGTATAAATGGGTGGATGAGCTCACCGACCACTTGGTGTTAAGTGGTTACCGGAGCCCATAGACATATACAAGGTAAATGCCGCCACCTTGAGATATAAGTTCTAAGTTCTCAGTATATTTACAACGACTGCCCCACCCTTCAAACCGAAACGCATTACTGCTTCACGGCAGAAATAGGCAGAGTGGTGATACCTACCCGTGCGGACTCACAAGAGGTCCTACCACCAGTAATTACGCAAATTATAATTTTGCGGGTTTGATTTTTATTACACGATGTTATTCCTTCACCGTGGAAGTCAATCGTGAACATTTGTTGAGTACGTATTTCATTAGAAAAATTGTTACCCGCCTGCAGGATTCGAACACCGGTGCATCGCTCAACACGAATGCACTGAACGTCTTATCCTTTAGGCCATGACGACTTCAAAAATTTTCATCGCCATACGTAAAAAAAACGTTGCTTTGAAGATGTTCACAAATAGGAAGATAAGGTCTGGGTTTAAATTAAAACTAATTAGCAATTTTTTATCTGAATTGTTCTTTTGTTAGTTGGAACGTCACGCAAAAAAAAAAGGTTGTATTCTAAAGAACTTGCGACTTAGATTTTAACGGAGGTGTAATTATAAAAACGACCATGTCCGTAAACCAAATAAGGCCAGTATAATGTGAGCTCTCATTTCTAGTCATTTCATAATGTTCATAATCGCAATAACTTTAATATTTCCTTTTGTGTTTTATCGTGGAGATCCGACCGATCTTAAGACTGTAATAATTATAGATCTAATGGATATCCGATCTTATGCCTCTAACGTTCTGATATATCTTATTATGCATACATAAATATGTACATGCATTTATTTCGATTCAGAAATGTTAAGATTAAAAATAAAAATTCATCGGTCATTTTATGGCTAATTTTAGCGGAAGATCAAGCACGGAAACTTTTGAATTATAATACAAAAAAAAAAAAACATCAAGGATACCTACATTCATTACGTTATTACTTTTAGCGAAAAAACAACATACCGTATACAAGGCTGATCGCACGACGAATATAAAATGAAACAAAAAATATGTTAATTTCCACGAAAACAGTTGAACAAACTTATCTATATATATAAAAATGAATTGCTGTTCGTTAGTCTCGCTAAAACTCGAGAACAGCTAGACTGATTTGGCTAATTTTGGTCTTGAGTTATTTGTGAAAGTCCAGAGAAGGTTTAAAAGGTTTAAATAAATATGAAAATGCTCGGATTATAAATAAAAATAACAATTTTGTTTTCCCTTTGATGTGTCCCCCGTCGGACGGATTCCTTTTGTTTGTTTTAGGTTTATTTTATACAAAAGTTTAGGTCTTTTATTTATCGATCGAGGCACTACGAAGTCTGCCGGGTCAGCTAGTAAACTTATAGAATTGTAATCTCAAAAATCGCATGATCATGTCCGTTTGTTTGTTTATACCGTTTTTTTTTTTTTTATTGCTGTGGTCGGTGGACGAGCTCACAGCCCACCTGGTGTTAAGTGGTTACTGGAGCCCATAGACATCTACAACGTAAATGCGCAACCCACCTTGAGATATAAGTTCTAAGGTCTCAAGCATAGTTACATGCACAACGATACCACATTAGTGCATGACATGCCAATCCTGCCTGAGCTTTTGAACTATTTGCAGGTGACGAGCTTTTTGGTGCAAACTTCGTTCGGTGCTTCAGCAAAACAGAACTTGATTGTTACTACCCGATTGCAGTGGATACTAAATAGTTGTATGTCAATTGTAGTTAGCCGTATTGACGACACGCAGACAGGTTAGTTATTAACAATTTACATTTGAAAATTAATTTACTGGTGGTAGGACATTTTGTGAGTCAGCAAGGGTAGGTACCCTGCCTATTTCTGGCGTGAAGCAGTAATACGTTTCAGTTTGAAGGGCAGGGTAGCCGTTGTACTGTTAAAAGTGAGACCTTACAACTCATCTCTTAAGGTGGGTGGCGGTATTTACGTTGTAGATGTCTATGGGCTCTGGTAACCACTTAGCACCAGGTGAGCCGTGAGCTCGTCCATACATCTAAGCAATAATTAAAAAAGCAATGAATTATATTTGAATTTTTCGGCAACTAAGCGGGTTAAAAATAAAAACATTATCGTCCACGCAATGTATTACAATTAAAATATAGTCAACGGACAAGGTCAACGACCTCGTGCTGAAGCGTTCAACGAAATCTGCTGATACATACAACTAGGGAAAGACGAATAGTAAGTACCAATTTCTCATTTATTTGTCAAACAACTTCTTTTGTTATTAATTATTGAATAACCATTAACGAGTTTTAGTGCTATCAATTTATCAATTTCATTTTGAGAACAGCCTTTCCCTGTCGTCAACAGTCAAAATATCAAAAATAAAAGTGAAAATGAGTCGTCTATTATCAAAGGTGGCAATCTGTGCATTTGGACAAAAAAAATTTATTGATATGTCAATACAGATTGATTTGAATATAATCGTCTCCTTCAAAAAATACGGTTCAAAACTTGCATTAAATAAAGGTTAATAGTTAACCTGTTATTTATCTAAGATGTCGTTCCGAAGAGTTTTGTGACTGCCAATGGAATACAAAGTCAATAATTCGTTTTTCTGATTTACCAATCATTGTCCAAAAGTCAGATTGCCGGCTTTGATAATAGTCGACTTAAATATAACAAGGCGCTAAAGAAGCTGTAGTTGTTATAATAAATAATAAAAAAATTAGGCGAGCGAAACCCGCGGGCAAAGCTTTGTCTCTTAAGCCAGTTCAACTTCGAAGCTCAGACGTCACGTGTACGCGTGGAAAATGCGATGAATTAATTAGCAAAAATAATTAATAGAAAAACGATTTTATTTTAGAAGCGTCTCAATTAATTCAATTATGTATATCATATAATAATATATCCTTAATCGAATGTTTTGATGATTTTTTGAATTTTCGAACGACTTTTTTTTTTAATTGACGACTGACTGACTGAGTTAAACTGACGTTTCTGTAACAATCTGACTGACGTCAGGATACTGTCACGAACTCTCATCATTTGTATAAAAATTATCTGCTCAATACACGGCTTTGGAATGAGCTCCCCTCCACGGTGCTTCCCGAGCGCTATGACAAATCCTTCTTTAAACGAGGCTTGTGGAGCGTACTTAACGGTAGGCAAGGCCTGGCTCTGCCCCTGGCATTGCTGAAGTCCATGGGCGACGGTAACCACTCATTATCATGTGGGCCGTACGCTCGTCTGCCTGCAAGGGAAGTAAAAAAAAAACGTTCTTCTCAAATCACCTTTGCCCCCCTCGAACCCCCTCCCTATTCCCCCAAACTGTATCCGGGTAGAATAAAAAAATGACTAAGGTTGACGTTCTCTGAGTATCACTTTTTTTAAGGGACTTTATGACCTGGTAACTAAGACTTTTAGGTCATGTCTTAGTTTAATTTATATTCTTATTTTTATGAAAAATGATAATATGGAGTAAATTGGAATGAAATGAAATGAGATGAGTCTGACCATCACAAACACGCATTTAATGTTGCTAGCGCGTATACAACAGCCGTAATTCAATTGACAGTTGAGCAATGGCTTAACAACAGAGGCTCCGTCCTGCTTGTTTTCACCGCGAAGTAATAATGCGATACGTATATGATGGGCTAGGTATACCGACAGACAGAAGCGATTCAATGTTCACTTATTTTTATTTTTTTTTTAATGCCCTTGTAGGCAGACGAGCATACGGCCCACCTGATGGTGAGTGGTTACCGTCGCCCATGGACTTCAGCAATGCCAGGGGCAGAGCCAAGCCGCTGCCTACCGTTTAATACTCTCCACAAGCCTCGTTTGAAGAAGGACATGTCTTACGATCTAAAAGGCTGGTATATCATGTACACTAATGAAATGATTGAGGAAGTTTTACGCGTTTTATGTGGTCAGTTAAAAAAAATGAATAGCTAACACAAAAATTAATTAATTTCTCAATAATTGTAACAACCTATCTTTGTTTGATGTTCTTTTAATTGAATTCATAATTAGTTTCAAACTATCGTCTAACGTACTAGGCACGCCCCGCGGTTCCATCCGTGTTCTTTTTTTTTTTTATTTTTTTTATTGCCTTTGTAGGCAGACGGGCATACGGCCCACCTGATGGTGAGTGGTTACCGTCGCCCATGGACTTCAGCAATGCCAGGGGCAGAGCCAAGCCGCTGCCTACCGCTTAATACTCTCCACAAGCCTCGTTTGAAGAAGGACATGTCATAGCGCTCGGGAAACACCGTGGAGGGGAGCTCATTCCATAGCCGGATGGTACGTGGCAAAAAAGATCTCTGGAAACGCACTGTGGATGACCGCAGTGGCTCCAGGTAGTATGGATGAACTCTACTCCGGTGGCGGGCGGTGCGATGGTAAAAACGAGATGCTGGTATCATCTCATCTATCATCTGGTTCGATTTGTAATTTCCAAATTATGAAACACGTTGCGTTGACCAGGAATAACAAACTTACTTATTGCTGCACGCTCTGAGGGGCGAGCTGGAATGACTATCGAAAAAGTATTCGTATCACGGTCGAAAAAAAATGTACAGGACTTAAACACTGGTGGACTTTTTTACTGGTGGTACGACCTCTTGTGAGTCCGCACGGGTAGGTACCACCGCCCTGCCTATTTCTGCCGTGAAGCAGTAATGCGTTTCCGTTTGAAGGGTGGGGCAGTCGTTGTAACTATACTGAGACCTTAGAGCTTGTATCTCAAGGTGGGGGGCTCCAGTAACCATTCAATAGCAGGTGGGCTGTAAGATCGTCCATCGATGTAAGCAATAAAAAAAAAAAATACGGTAAGGTAAATCTCGAAGGCTGGCTATCGAGTAGGTACTACCATCTAATGTAATGATCCGTTGTCGTAGCGACGACTCGATACATTTAGATTACGAATTCGATAGATTTTCGTCCTTGACGTACAGTGTTCTGTGTGTACAGTGGGTTTTTATAACGTTCTCGCTATCGACAACGTTATAAAAACCCACACAAATTTCGAGTTCGTATCGTTCGTAAAACTCGAAATTTATAACCGAGAGCACGAAAATTGTTTTGACATACGGTAGGTAACGTAAATCTCGAAGGCTGGCGATCGAGTACTACCATCTAATGTAAAATGATCCGTTGTCGTATCGTAGACTCGATACATTTAGATTACGAATTCGATAGATTTTCGTGCTTGACGTACAGTGTGCTTAGTGGTTTTTTTAACGTTCTCGATAGCGTAAAAGTTAACTCCGATTTGTAAAGAGTCGGAACGTTTGCCGCTAGGGGCGCTGTTCCAATTGCACTGGTCCGTAAATTACCAGTCGATTTATACTATATACAATACATATACAACACATCGCACCTTTGGAATCAAAGTGGCTTATCTAAAAAAATTATAAAAAATAATTTTATACTTCGAACGACCTATGAACAAGTATTCTGTGAATTTGTCCAATGAAAAAAAAATATTACACGTTCCGTCTTTCTTAAATCAAGCGATTACCAAAGTATTTTAATCGAAAAACTAAGAAGTGACAATTCTTCAATTATATTTTTGGCGCTATTTATAAAAAAAAAGATAGTCGACCACGCCTCTTACGCATTCAAAATAGAATATTAATTTGTGTAACTAAGGGTGGATTCGACCAAACTTAAATTTATACTCGAGTAACTATACGAGGAATAACCTATTCCATGATTTTAATCTCGAGTAAATCCATAGTCGTTTTTCCACGTATACTTGCGCTAGGAATAACAATACGCGAATAGCAGAGTGAATGGTGAACAAAAATAAAATCCGGCAAATAAATGTTGTTATTCAACGGCATAGTGTAAGAGCATACATATCGTCAACTCGATTTTGCCGTATTTTAGTGTGAAAAAGTAGCTGTTGTGAAAGATATCCAGCTGTCAAACGTATTATTTTTATTTGTTGTTTGTTTGAGGGAAATGTCAAGTTTTGTCGTGTGGTTTTATCTTTTTTCGTTTAAACGTTGCATTATACAATGCCAGACTATTAATAATAATTTAGTGCATTGCGTTGACTTGAAATTAAAACAGAATAAATATTTATGAAATGACAGAAATCAGATGTTGGACTGACAGACGCCATTACTTTATTCTAGGAATAGCTCCGTTATTCCGTGCGAAACGGCGGTATAGTAACAATTCCCGAATAGGCCCACTATTCTTAGAATTGTAGATGGTAAAACGTAAAATTGATTTACTCTCGATTAACTGACGAGTTATTCTAAGAATAAGATTTACTCTTGTTTGGTCGAATCGACCCTAAACGTAATTACTTTTCGTTTAGACGCTTGATGACACAGCTCATTTTGAAATTGTTTTCATTGCGTGCACACCGACAACTATCAGATGTGATATTTAAAATGTCATCTATATATTAATACGTGAAGCAAAAACTTTGTACCCCTTTTTACGAAAATTGCGCGGACGGAGGAGTATGAAATTTCCCACACTTATAGAGAATATAGAGAAGGAGTGCACAATGCTAATATATATTTTTAAATTATGCATAAAGCATACGTTAAATCAATAAAAAAAACGTTACACACATTACATACCATGTATTTGACGCACATTGTCAAACTTTTGTTCTTGACGTCTGTTGTCAAATTGAGAATAGATTAAATATTGTTTGTCTTTATTAATATTTTTCTATAGTGTATTTTTGGCGAAATTTGTGATTATAGAAGTATAAAATACAATCATAATAGTGTACAAACTTACAATTCCAATTAGTTATAGTCGAATTTCGACTACTGCGAGACCTCTAGTTCGATTAGTTAGTACAAGATACTCACGCAGTGCGCCTGCCTGGCCTCCTCAATGTAATGAGTGGTGATAATAACGGTCTTGTCTCCGGAGCTGGTGATCCGAACCAAATGGGTCCAGATCGACTGCCTCAGCAGTGGATCCACTCCGACCGTCGGCTCGTCCAAGATCAGGAGTTCGGGGTCGTGCATCAGCGCTACAGCGAACGAGACTCTTCGTTGCTGCCCTCCACTGCGAAACAGGATTTAAATAGAGTAAACCATACGAGTAGAAGTCGTCGTGGCCTGAAGGATAAAGACGTCCAGTCAGTGCAGTCGTGTTGAGCGATGCACCGGTGTTCGAATCCCGCAGGCGAGTACCAATTTTTCTAATGAAATACGTATTTAACAAATATTCACGATTGACTTTCATGGTGAAGGAATAACATCGTATAATAAAAATCAAACCCGCAAAATTATAATTTGCGTAATTACTGGTGGTAGGACCTCTTGCATAGAAAACTTTTGGAATAATTATTTTTTTATTTTTTTATTGCATAGATGTGGGGACGAACCCACTGCTCACCTGGTGTTAAGTGGTTACCGGAGCCCATAGACATCTAGAACGTAAACGCCGTTACCCACCTTGAGATATGAGTTCCAATGTCTCAGTATAATTACAACAACAACATTATTATTACTGGTGGTAGGACCTCTTGGGAGCTCGCGCGGGTAGGTACCACCGCCCTGCCTATTTCTGCCGTGAAGCAGTAATGCGTTTCGGTTTGAAGGGCGGGGCAGCCGTTGTAACTATACTGAGATCTTAGAACTGATATCTTAAGGTGGGTGGCACATTTACGTCGTCGATGTCTATGGGCTCCAGTAACCATTTAGCACCAGGCGGGCTGTAAGCTCGTCCACCCATGTAAGCAATAAAAAAAAAGAGTAATTAGAAGTCCTAAAAATGAGAGTACCTTCCAGTTTCCATTTGATAGAGTTTAATTGATCAAGACATATTTTATTAGCCTATGCTCCGGAAGCAAATATATTCCATGATAGTTTGCAGTGATTCATAGCTGTTGCTAAAAGCTAGTCTTTTTTTTTTTTATCCTACCTAAGCTGGTAGCCTTCAGAGGCTATTCCAGCGTAACCTTAACTAGTAGGTGAGCGGGGCTCAAAGCTGACGACGTTGCTAACACAAACCCTAGCAAGAGCTGTGCTTCGCAGAATCTACCACCGGATCGGAAACGCGACCCACTGAGAAGATCCGGCGAGAAACACAGTGGGCTGTGTCTGAGGGTTAATTTACTAGTCGAGCCCTTCGTCGCAAGCGACGGGTTCGACGAGAACGGTGACCGGAGCTAGTCAAGCAATCATTAAAACCTTTCAAATGTTTTGGTTCGATTGTTAGATTGTAAGAAGACTGAAATAAATATATTTTTTTGCTAGGACGAATTTGAACCGCTATCCTGTTTCCGTTGCAAAACAATGCCGTGTTCTTGTTGAAAAGGCATTTTTTTTCCTACCTATGCTGATAGCCTTGAGAGGCTATTCAGCTTCTCCTTGACGTGTAGGTGAGCTCACGGGGCTCAAGCCGGGGTGTTGCTAACACTGGGCTTAGCAAGAGCAGTGCTTCGCAGAATCTACGACCGGATCGGAAACGCGACCCACTGAGAAGATCCGGCGAGAAACTCAGTGGGCTGTGTCTATGGGTTAATTTACTCGTCGAGCCCTTCGTCGCAAGCGACGGGTTCGACGAGGACTGTGACCGGAAAATGGCAGGCTATAGTTTCCTCGAATGGGAAATTTTTTATGAACCGATTTCAGAGTGAGCTGCGTCTCGAGATACCAATATTCATCGATCGCCATTTAACAACGAATTAAAAGCATACATTGTCTGGCCCGTCGTGAACTCGATTTATCGACCAGAAGTAAATAACGAAAAAAGCACGTGCGGTACTGATGGAATGGTCCGATAATGTCAATAATTAGATCGATACCGTGAAGGAATTAGTTCAATTAATAAAAATATAACTGCCGTATTTTTATAGTACAAATAATACGACCACAAACCTTAGTCATGGAATGTATATTTTAGAACAGGATTTATTAAAAAAAAATATTGCATATATGGGTGGACGAGCTCACAACCCACCTGGTGTTAACTGGTTACTGGATCCCATAGACATCTATCAACTAAATGCGCCACACACCTTGAGATATAGTTCTAAGGGTATCAGTATAGTCACAACGGCTGCCCCACCATTCAAACCGAAACGAATTACTGCTTTACGGCAGAAATAAGCAGGGCGATGGAACCTACCCGTGCGGACTCACAAAAACTCCTACCACCAGTAATTACGCAAATTATAATTTTGCGGGTTTTCGATTTTTATTACATGATGTCATTCCTTTACCGTGGAAGTCAATCGTGAACCTTTGTTAAGTACGTATTTCATTAGAAAAATTGGTACCCGCCAGCGGGATTCGAACACCGGTGCATCGCTCAACACGAATGCACCGGACGTCTTATCCTTTAAGCCACGACGACTTAACGACGGATTTAACTATATATTTTTACACGTATCGCATATTTTTTTATTGTTTGTACAATTTCCTGACACGTCACGTCCGCCAAGGATATGTGTTAGTTTTTTTTACACGAAATTCATATTTACACTGTGGTTTCCTCTGTACATTGAACGTATTTGACCAAAATAATGTTTGTTGAGTACATTTTTTTGTCAGTGTCGTTCGGACGTGCGTCGTTTGGTGATAATTAACGGAAAACATTTGAGGTAAAACGGAGCCATCGTGGTTTGTTCCATGACGACTATATTTGAATATGCAATTTCGAAAAGGGCACATGTCGCATATTTTGTCAAATACGTTTTTTCATATACATGTAGTTTTGAGGCTTACCTACATCCATTTTATAATAATTCCAGTAATGTTCAATTGCTAATTAACACTAAAATATATCTCAAAAGTTAATATTTTAAATTTTACACTGATTTAGAAAATATTCAGTTTTTTTTTCATTTCCTGAACATTTTACATTTTCAGAGATGTGCCCTTTTAGAAATTGCATAGTCATTTGGTTGAAGCATTATTTTAAAAATTATAAATCGTATCAAAACACAATTTTAGGGACATTCTTGATTACATGTTTGTAAGCATAAGTAGATTATCGTGCATTAATTTAAGATCCTGTTTGTGTGAAAAAGTATTTAGCAGCCCCTATTTATTACGCCAGATCCGATTCTCGTTCCAAGTCAATATGTTTTTGAAAGATATATTTTTTAATCGATGTGATCGTGCTTGTCTCGTGTACATTTCCGATATCATAGAAGATACAAGATACAATCATAGTTTGAAGACGATGCTTAAAGGAGATGGTTCAGTTCACACGCAATAAAAGCGTAACATTCAAAAGTCTTCTATCTCGTTTTCACGCCGGTAAATCTTATAGTTGAACACGTCTGTCTCTTTTTAGTACCGCTTATCGAGTGTCGTTTCCGTTTCATCGAATTTCAAATGACCACTAAGGTTGCCAGTACAAGAATACTTATCTCATCCGTAGCTACCGAGACCACGAAAGTATTATAGGTATCATTTATGACAAAATGAGGAACACCTACGTTATGTTCTCCAGCGCTATAAATCAAATCCAATCAAATCAAAAGAAAATTTTCAACATAAATGAAAGTACACACTTGTTGAACGTCAAAAAGAACTACCGCCAATTCACAAAAACTAGCCTCCGTCCTGAGAAGAACTGGCAAGAAACTCAGCGGGCATGTCCTTTTTCGTCTTTTTTTTTAATGTTAGATTTTTTTTTAAATATTACTTTTTACAATGAGTATCATAACGTAACAATTATTGCAATATTGAAATGCCCGGAGCGAGCAAATCATTCCCACTTTGTGCAATCTTCTAGATAATCATTGACTTTATAGTAAGCTTTATTGCACAGATGTTCTTTAATAGTTTTCTTAAACCTATGTATATGTAGGTTCTGAACATCTTGTGGGATTTTGTCGTACAGGCGCACAGACAAACACCCGAATGAATTTCGTATCTTATGTAACCTACTCATCGGCACAACAAGCCTGTGTTTGTATATAACACACGCGGCTTATGAAAAGTAGCGGTTAGCGACATCCTAGCCGTGCCAATGACATTAACGGTGTCCATTCCAACGGCAACCAACCAGCAGTTAAGAATCGAACGCAAACTAGCCTTAGATCAAACCGTGCGATAGTTTTAGTAACGTTACAAGACTTTCGTTGGCAGATGTCGTGTGCAACATGCTCAAAATGTCGAACGCTTTACGTAATAACACTTTCACATTCATCTCATACACTCTTCAGTTTAAGAACAATGCACGTTTTATTGTATATATGTAACGTTATTAATGGTTGTGTGCGTCTTTGAATTAAGTTTTGTTGTAGTATTATCGAGGCTCTAAGCCACAATGAGTAGTCGTTTGACGGGAGAAATATGAGGGTTGCTACACGTCATACGATCTCATTAACATATCGCTCCTCGCGTTAGGTATGAAGATATAGTCGGATTTTTTATTAGACGAAGTCAACTGACGTTTACTGTGTTGTCAGGTTTTGATGAAATAAAAATAGTGTTGTGACAAAGTGAACGATTGAAAAAACTCCTGAATTAATGAAATTGCCTCGATTGTCTAGTGAATAGTTGGTGTGCCGAATTGCCGATATCGGGTACGGGGTTCGAATTTTAAGCGTGCTTTGTACATACCAACGAGTTTTCGACGAAATATTATGTTCCTATAGTATCTATCTGTACTGAATACCGAGTGTTTTAAACATTAAGAAAAACATTGCGAGGAAGCTTGTAAGACTGTCCTATTTCCAATACGTCATATAGTTGAAATTATAGATGTATAAAATATAACAATTATAGGTATGTAATGAAAATAAAAAAACTGATTGTAGTTACATACTATTAGTAACATATATTGGAGCACTTTAATACAATTTTATTGTAAAATATAAATAATATTCTTTTATAGTTTGAAATTAATGATTAACTCTTCACACTCACTGTTCATTCATGTGATTGAACGAGAACTGAACGCATCACTATTACTTTAAATATAGCAACATTATTTCACAAAGTGACATTAGCTACTGTCAGCTGGCTTCGTCTAATTAAAAATCCGACTATAAGTTATGTTTAAGCCATTGCATAGCTTTTATCGCGGGCCTTGGGCGCGGCGACCGAATCATGAAATTCCGTAACGAAAAAAACCTTGCACCCCTCACTCCGCCTACCATGTAGCTCGCGTTCAACACATTCACACGTTGCGCTTGTGTAGTGTTTGTGAATAAGCGCGTGGCGTGACATCGCACTGCATGCGCATCATGAAAAGTCTGCCCATCTCTCTCTTGCGCGGTCTAGCTTAAGTGTGAAGGGGACAGTTAAGGTTTTGCTTTTATTAATGTTTTATATAGCGTGGTCTTGTTTTATTATTGTTTTAATATTAAATTATCATTGTCTAATTATAATTGCATAAGTTGATAAGAAATGCTATGAAATAGCTTTACCGCGGCAGTTCCCGAGTGCCACCGTTTTTTTTTTTTTTAATGTAACACGAACGCCTACAAAAACAGTTTTTAATTTTCTCGACAAGATCATTCCAGCCAATTACTTGTGATGCCGGTGAGTGACTAGAGCTAGCCGGAGGAAACCTATGCGACTTACTAATCAGGCGATATAATACACCTCACTGTATCAATGTACTAGTGCCACTACAGAACAAGGTAGACGATGAGAATACATGAGGCTCGAAATTTATAAACGGAAATTTGCCGGACCGGCACGAGCGTACAATATGCGGCCGGACTTAAACGTGACTCGTCCGCCAGCTATTATATAGAATCGTATTCATATAGAATCGTGTATCATGCTTACATACTTTGTTGCTTCAAAATAACAAATCATTGTTCGGATTTGCCACTTTCGAGCTTCAGATCATCTAAATATACTTTCACAAATACGTTTTCATTGTTCTGTATGCTTAGCGCGAGTTTTTTAACGTTCTCGATAGCGTAAAAGTTAACTCTAATTTGTATGCAGTTGGAACAGCGCCCCTAGCGGCAAACGTTGGCAAAAGTTCCAACTCCATACAAATTCGAGTTAACTTTTACGCTATCGAGAACGTTAAAAAACTCGCACTGAAGACACTGTAAGATGATGGGAGACAAACATGAGACGCTAGTGACGTTAGTTATAGACTGGCCATACCACGGCCACCACACAAGTAGTCCTGGCCTAAAAGATAAGACGTCCAGTACATTCGTATCTAGCGATGCAACGGTGTTCGAATCCCGCAGACGGGTACCAATTTTTCTAATGATTTCATTTCCGCCCGAAATAAGCAGGGTGGTGGTACCTACCCGTGCGGACTCACAAGAGGTCCTACCACCAGTAATTACGCAAATAATCGCTCAACAACCCACGTCTGAGCCTTGCATGAGACAGAACTCATGAAAAGGCAAGTGAAAGCTACGACGACTTCAAAATATTATGTATGTGTATGGATGTATGTCTGTTTGCCTTCTATGAGTAACCTAACCTTATCTGCTCATTCGATTGTGATGTGACTTGGTACGGTAATGGTCGCCACTCCAGGGTAAGCCTCCCGCATAGTACAACCAAAGATCGCAAGATGGCGCGCGAGTAGTTTTAAAAAACCCATGTTTTTCATACAATTAGCGGTTATACAACAGAAATGGTTTCGCTAGCAGATAAATATGTAGTTAACTAATATCTATATATTAATACGTGAAGCAAAAACTTTGTATTCCTTTTTACGAAAATTGCGCGGACAGAGGAGTATGAAATTTTCCACACTTATAGAGAATATATAGAAGAAGAGCACAATGCTAATGTTTTTTTAAAATAATGCATAAAAGATACATTAAATCAACAAAGAAAACATTACACACACTACATACCATGTATTTGACACACACACGTATACTCTTTGTTTATTGTCAAACTTTTTTTGTTATTGCTTAAAATCTGTAGTCAATTTGAGAATAGGTTAGTATTGACTTTTTGGCGGGAACGCGAGGAGTGAAGTTGTGTGATTTGTTTTATTTTGTCTATTTAGTGTTTCTTCAGGTTTAAATGTGTAATAACGGTGGTTTATTAACTGTTTAATGTGAAAGTGCACAAATGTGGGAAAATGAAACAAAGCCGCTGGACGCAACTTCTTGGGATCCTCCAAAAAGTCCACTGAAAAAATCTTAGTAAATGACCACCATTTTACCAAGATTATATTTCATCCCATATCATCTCATTTCATTTAATTTCATCCCAGTTGATTAATGTCTCAGATTAATCATTTTCATTTCATTTCATTCCATATTATCATTTTTCATAAAAATAATAATATAAATTAAAATAAGACACGACTTAAAGGTCTTAGTTACCAGGACATAAAATCACTTAAAAAAAATTAGGTTAGTATTGTTTATCTTTAATATTACGAGTATTTGTCTATAGTCTATAGTGTAGTCTTGGCGAAATCTGTAACAATAGGACCATAATAATGTTGAAACTTATAATTTCAATTAATTATAGTCGAATTTCGACTACTGCGGGACCACTAGTTAAAGACAAACAAACAACACGTTACTTAAGTAGTAAGTTTCAAAATATGATATGTTAATTATGACAATTAAACTCTGAGAACGCGTCGTCGAATAACAATTATTATTCTCGTGATCCACTTCAGAAAACTACTTAAATGCCACACCTTTCACATCCTTATTTTTTTACACGTTGCGACGCGACCGAAAAAAATATTATCGTATTTCATAAAATGCTTTAGTTTCCTTATTAAAATTTGCGTAAAGAAGTTTTATTTCGAAATATGTAGTAGGTTCTGTCAATAAATACTCGTAAACGCGGTAGGCAGCGGCTTGGCTCTGCCCCTGGCATTGCTGAAGTCCATGGGCGACGGTAACCACTCACCATCAGGTGGGCCGTATGCTCATCTGCCTACAAAGGCAATAAAAAAAACCTGAATTTCATAGCACAGTTATCGACTAATTCTGAAACTTGGTGGCAGGACGTGAGTTCGCATGGATAGGTACCACCACCCTGCCTATCTCTGCTGTGAAGCAGTAATGGTTTCGGTTTGAAGGGTGGGACGGCAGTTGTACTGTAAAAACGGAGAGCTCAAGGTGGCATTTCCGTTGTTGATGTCTATGGGCTCCGGCAACCACTTAAAACAAGGTGAGCCGTCATCTCATCCACCCATTTAAGCAATAAAAAAAATATTACTACGATACACCGTCCATCAAACTCATTGTTCGCAAAAGTCAGACAACTTTTTCCTGACTACAAAAAAAACGTTCCAAAAACCACCTTGGGGATCACCATGTCCACCAGAACATTGGGGGATCGGGGTCTAAAAATGCTTACAAATAACAAATCTAACAAAACTGATAGCCGAATTTCGCCAAAAATTTAAAAACTAATGATTTAAAAAAAAAAAAAAACCGTAGAATATTAATAAAAACAGACTGAGCTCAGATAAATTCGTGTGACCAATTTGTATTTACATTGTTTTTAAATAATGTTCGACCCGTAGTTTATTTCACGGCCGTTTTGTTCTGTAAGCACGCGTGAAGAGCCTTTTGTCTAGAAAATTGGGGACATCGATCTAGATTTGGGCGTTGCATCGTCTAACTAAGTTTAGAAGTAGGGAAATAGGATTAGACCATTGTTTCCCATCGCTGCGACCGAGTTAATTTTTATTTTTTTTATTGCATATATGGGTGAACAAGCTCACAGCCCACCTGGTTGGTGTTAGTGGTTACCGGAGCCCATAGACATCTACAACGCCACCCATCTCGAGACTTGAGTTCTAAGATAAGGTCTCAGTTTTTATTTATTTATTTATAGCTTTACATACTAGACAGTATAAAGCCGGGCTTAATGCCATAGGCATTCTCTGACAGTCTACCTTAGGGGGGTGCAGAGATGAACCATGGTAGGTGTAGTGTAATAGTGATATTACTTAAACATATGTGTATATATAAGATACATAATATTTATAGATACAAATACTCCAGTTTTTTCTTTAGGCCAAGACAAGTTCAAAACGACACTTAGCTGAAGATATGTATTTCTGCCGGTTCCTTCATAGTTCCTTAACTAGTTTTTAATTGCACCAGATCAGTGCGTTCTCGACGCATCTACTTCTAAATTTTTACAGAAGCACAAAAACATAAACTGATATAATGGGTTCAGATTATCCAGTCAAGAGACAAATCCAATATAAACAATGTTAATATGATGATAAAACTGTGCACAATATATGCACAAACACCACCTTAGAACGAACAAGAAAGGGGGTATATTTGTATGATCTTAATGTTATAAACATGGTGCTTACTACCACCTTGAAATATGTAGAACCGAATGAAATTCTAAATCGTGGAAAGAGCCCGTCAAACAAAACTATTTCAATACTGGTGGAACACGTCAAGGAGAGATTTCGTGTATCGCACTGTCACAGTCCTTTAGCAATGTTTCTTTTTTTTTTTCGATTTTAAAATTAGTATATATGTCATATGGGCCCGTAGGAGCTTGTAGGGACCAAAAATGTTGATTTGTAAAAATATTTAAAAAAAAAAAAAGGGTAGTAATGATGTAGGGACCACAAATGTCCCCATAGCAACTAACAATTATATGTATGTGTTAGCGGTAATTATGATGCAATGATGATACGTCAGTCTCGGGATTGTCGGGCTGTCGATAGCACGTTAGGTTGTAATCCCAATATACGTTAGTCACTTAACTGAGCACGTGTTTTGTTAATCCTTGCTCGATATAGAGACTCAAGCTTATAAACAGACAACCAATAGATAAATATATGTAAGTTAAAAACATAAAAAAACATTTAAAATTAGTACTTTAAAAGTCCCAACCTCAAGTTCTTGACCATTCGGTTCTCGCTGGGCAGGTCCAAAAAGTCAAGTAGGAACCGAAGACGATCCACGATCTCCTTCGTCTCCATCCCGAAGATCCAGCCGAAGTACATCATGGTCTCCTTGATAGTGAACTCTCCGTACAGAGCTATCTCCTGAGGCATGTAGCCGACGCGTTTCCCGGGGACACCAGACCCTGAGAGGACGAAGAGATGTTTATTGGCATGTTTCAGCAGACCAGCCTCTACCTGATTTGTGTTAAGCTGGTACTAGTGCCTAGGTTTTTATTTTTTATTGCTTAGATGGGTGGACGAGTTCACAGCCCACCTGGTGTTAAGTGGTTACTGGAGCCCATATACATCTACAACATAACTGCACCACCCACCTTGAGATAATATCAGTTCTAAGGTCTCAGTATAGTTACAACGGCAGCCCTACCCTTCAGACCGAAACGCATTACTGCTTCACGGCAGAAATAGGCAGGGCGGTGGTACCTACCCACGCTGACTCACAAGAGGTCCTACCACCAGTAATTACGCAAATTAAAGTGGAAGTCAATCGTGAACATTTGTTGAGTACGTATTTCATTAGAAATTGGTACCCGCCTGGGATTCGAACACCGGGTGATGTTTAAACAAGAGATGTTTATTAGCATGTTTCAGCAGACCAGCCTCTGGCTGATTTGTATTAAACTGGTACTAGTGCCTAGGAACATTACTAGGTATTGCACCTTAAAACAGCTAATGGAAACCTAAACTATATTAAACTAACGACTTTGCAACAGAATCAGCTAGGAAGGTATGCCTTTGCTTAGCTGGTATTTGGGAGCCCCGGCCCAGAGGTGCAAGCAGTACTCCACGCGAGGCCGCACTTGAGCTTTATAAAGCAAAAGTCTTTGTCCAGGCGTGTACTACCGCTTTGCTCTGTTGAGGACTCTCAGCATTTTGGACGCCAACTTGGTTTTGCCTTCCAAATGACTCCGAAATTGGACATCGCTCGAAATGTCGACCCCAAGTATCCCAATACTCGTGGAAGCTTGCAGGGATGCTCCTTGGAATTGCGGTACCATGACAAAAGATGACCCCTTTTGTCTTAGCTTCTACGGTACCTACTGTCTTGCCTATTTTTACCGCGAGATAGTCAGTCGGTTTGAAGCTCACGCGGACCTATAGGTTCATACCAGCAGGAGTTCGAAGCCTCGATTCCGTGGTATATATGGTAGTGATAGCAAATGGTAGTTCGTATGATCATGATGAATTCACCTTTTGTTCCAGGCTTCCCTCCGAGCACCCATATCTCGCCGCTGTTTAATTTCCGTCTGCCCACGATGCAAGACAGAAGCGTGGTCTTCCCACAGCCCGACGCACCAAGTAGACCGTATCTGAAACCAAGAATTAACATAAAATTTAAATTGGTCAATGATTTGAGTATACTTTATAAAAAAATGTTCATTTTGCCGAAAAACTTAGTATTTGTATAGAAATATGTAGTTTCTATAAGTGTACCAAGGCCGCATTATGCTTTTTCACCTTGAAAGGCAAACGAGTACACGGTCCACGTGATGGTAAATGGTAATTGTGGTTCATGGACACTATAACAATAATTAGGAAGAACTCACACACAGTCATCCGACCCCAATTTAGGATTCCCTGTGTTATGGGAATCAGAGGCTGATAAACATACTTATATAAGTTTAAATATATTCTTATATAGATTTAAAAAAAACACCTAGACAAAGAGCAAACATACCTATTCATCACACAATGTTTGCCCGCTGTGGGAATCGAACCTATGACCCCCGGCGCAACAATCAGCGTTAATTACTGCACCACCGGGTCAATCATTGTTAGCAATGTTAGAAATCACGCTACTGCCTATCGCAGAGGACGCTGGGACGAGGAATACAAAAGTTGCGAACATTTAATAAAACGATTAGCGCGCCACCTGTCTTACGTTGATGGTACTATAAATTATCAACCTTCAACATTCCACGCCTCCAAGCTAGCATATCGTCGTTGTCAAACCAAAATCTGCTATGTGCACTTTTTGAGTTTTTTACTTTTTGACCTTTTCGTATAGTTCACAGCTCTATCTACCGTATAAAAAAAACTGTTATGTGTCTATAGCTTTAATATTTATCTATAGCTTTCGTTTGATATAGTTCTTAAAAATTCACCTTCATATAAAATTTTATACGACAAAAATTTTTTTTACTCGTTAATTCAAAATAGAGTTTTTGCATATAGCAGATGTTGATTTGGCAGCGACGATATACAGACGCACGAATAACAAATTTATCTAAAATCATTGACTACAGACTTCGTCACTCTACAAATGTGTAATAAAAGTTACAAAATAAGTCGTCGTGGCCTAAAGGATAAGACGTCCGGTGCATTCGTATCTAGCGATGCACCGGTGTTCGAATCCCGCAGGCGGGTACCAATTTTTCTAATGAAATACGTACTCAACAAATGTTCACGATTGGCTTCCACGGTGAAGGAATAACATCGTGCAATAAAAATCAAACCCGCAAAATTATAATTTGCGTAATTACTGGTGGTAGGACCTCTTGTGAGTCCGCACGGGTAGCTACCACCCTGCCTCTTTCTGCCGTGAAGCAGTAAAGCGTTTCGGTTTGAAGGGCGGGGCAGCCGTTGTAACTATACTGAGACCTTGAACTCATATCTCAAGGTGGGTGGTGGGCAATTACGTTGTAGATGTCTATGGACTCCAATAACCACTTAATAGCAGTGAGCTGTGAGCACGCCATATTAGCAATAAAAAAAAAATCTGTGTTCAAAAAGCTACGGAGGGTGAATGATTAAAAAAAACAGTACCATAATTACTACTACACTTCACTCCAATCCAGCACACTTCTGTTTAAAACTGCTATATTGATATCATTTCTATTTCCTACACTAGCCCTATTTCCAACAATACATTGCTGTTTACAGGAGGACACTTTTAAACTTGTCCCCAATAAAAAAATCCTCCATACAAAAAACATAATGCATTTTTTCGTAAATTAATGCACGGTAGTCTAACAAGGAGTAAAACCATGTCGAATTATAATGGTCACGACCCTCAGCAGTGAGGAAACGACGCGAGGAGGAGGAGGAGGAGAGTCTAACCCCCGTGCGTCTTTTTATAAAACTACAAGCGTCCAGCTCCGGCTCCGCTCGGGTCTTTAACAAAAATTTCAACGATAATTGACTCTGTTTTATTTTTTTAAATAAAAGAACACTTATTGCAGCATAACTATAATAGTTAAATATATGCTGTCGCGACACTTTTTGTAAATAATAATGTGTTCTACAAAGTCGTAGTACATTATTTTATTATATCATCAACAGTTTTCGCAAGGGCACGCGATGTAAAGAATTTTTTAGGTAATTTTTTTACACCTTGGGTTACATTATTGGAGTTTTAGTAAGGATCCCTAATTTTTTTCAAAAAAGATTATAGCCTATGTCACTCGGGAATAGTGTAGCTTCCAAATAGAGAAAGAATTTTTCAAATCGGTTCAGTAGTTTCGGAGCCTATTCAATACAAACAAACAAACAAATCTTTCCTCTTTATAATATTAGTATAGAAGTATAGACTACAATATTCAGATGTCGATGACTAACAACACCTTAGTTGCCCGAAACCTCGAAAGATACATAAAAAAACGCACAAAAATTCACATGTTTTTACCGAGAATAAATAACTATAGAACAACTTCATAATAATTCCACTACAACAACGTATTAAATCCATTTTATTTAAACTTCAATTGTAAATCTTATCTTGTTTGACGTAAGGTCGTAGCGATCGACGTTAAATAGAAGGTGGATTTGCGTAATCGTATCGTCCTCGCTTTGTTGCAGTAAGCGCGCAGCGGACCGTCACATTCATAGCTAGGCTTTCTTTATAATCATTCGCGAAGGTGTCTTAACATAATATATCGTCCGTGATTCACCACTAAAGCAATCCGACCAATGTAATATGCGCCATTGCTAAAACGTCCGAAGTATTTGTATTGTTACGCCGGTAAGAGTAACGCCATCTATCGCCGAATCGTCGGACGAATATCGAAGGACCTAGTAACACCTAGAACAATTGAGAAGTACAACACCATCTATTGTTAGATAGTGGAAACTACTACTAGGGATGTGTGGAATATTCTCGATAATTCTAGGGATGAAGTATCGGCTATAAAAGCGTTGCAGAGATGGCACGCAGTCAGTCAGTAATCGGAACTAATCGAAGCGAAACAGCGAACAGATCACCTAAAGTGTTGAGTTGAGTTGAGTGTTTTAAGTGTCCTAAGTGTTGAATACATTTTAAGTTTTACCTCGGTGGAATTTTATTTATCCCGAACCCCAGTACAGTACTAAGTGATGCGACTACCCCATGTGGGGTCGGGGCAGCATGTCCTTCTTTTCCATTCAGGTTTATCATACATCATCTCTACACTCACACACTCTTCTCTCGCATATCCTCTTTAACCTAATCCATTCAAGTATTTTTAGAACGGCTTGCTAAAACCAAGCCCCAGGGATGAACTCCCTGCCACTCAGGGCAGGGGTGAGAAAGTGCAGAAGGGAAAACGGGGGGGGGTTGCATCATTTTGCAAAATTCCTGGAATGGGAAAGTTCCATGCTAAAGGCTGATCCATCCTGCTGCAAGAAAGTCGCTATACGTATTGGAACTTCGCACCACACCCTAAATTACTGCCGACATCCAATTCAAAGGCTTTTTATTGTGATGGATATAAATCTGTCGGGTTTCGTCGGAATTATTGGGGATTATGAGAGGGTGTTTTTATTTATTTATTGCTTAGATGGGTGAATGAGCTCACAGCCCACCTGGTGTTAAGTGGTTACTGGAGCCCAGAGACATCTACAACGTAAATGCACCACCCACCTTGAGACATCGGTTCTAAGGTCTCAGTATGATTACAACGGCTACCCCACCCTTTAAACTGAAACGCATTACTGCTTTACGGCAGAAAATAGGCAGGGTGGTGGTACCTACCCGCGCGGACTCACAATAGGTCCTACCACCAGTAATAGCACCAGGTGTGCATGGACCTATAAACTACGCGGCCGAATATTAAATTATTTTTTATCTTAGAGCTCGCAATACTAAGAGAAAGCTGCTACAAATTCGCCACCAATCCTGGCTGCTAATCTAGACTCACACATAGGCATAATTTTTCTTTTCCCCTTTCAACTATCCTTGACATCAACTGTATTGATGGCTCCCATGCCCATCCACGCTAGTTTAAAAGTACATACATCATTCCAATGCCCCTTATAAATGAAAGCCTTTGTCCTGTTGTAACACAGTCACTAATCTGGCACTATGCCAACTCCCCACAAAAGGTTAAAGAACTTATGTTTCTATGCAATTAATGACACGTCGCTTTTGTGTGCGAAATTATTAATAATTGTGTGAAATTCTCTTTGTCTTTGCTTAATGTGACAATGTCTTTGAAACTACACAAATATATTCACAAAGAAGAATTAACTTGTTAGGTTTGACGTGACTTTGAGAGCCATCGTCCGTGAATGACTTCAAAAACTACATCGGGGGTGAACGGGTATTTGGATGAAGCGATATTTTTGCAACTTTACAGCAGAGCCATTCAAAGTTGAACATTTTGAAAAAAATATTAACAAAGAAATCTCCTTCAGCTATTTAAATGGAGGAAACTTGAAATTCTATTAAAAACATCGAACTGTTGATGCTAATCTATATATATAAAAAAGAATTGCTGTTCGTTAGTCTCGCTAAAACTCGAGAACGGCTGGACCGATTTGGCTAATTTTGGTCCTTAATTATTCGTGGAAGTCCAGGGAAGGTTTAAAAATTGAGGCACTACGAAGTCTGCCGGGTCAGCTAGTATCAAATAAAACGTACCTTTGCTTACAAAGATAAATGTTACGTATTAAGCGTAATATCGCTTAAACCACGGAATAGATAAATTAAACCAAATAGTCTTTCACCCTTCGATATGTATCTGAAACATCCCAAATTGGATGTTCAATTTATAAGCACGTGATACGCCGAGAAAAGTTTCAGCAACGTTCCGGGGTAAGTAATCAACATGAAGTTTTGCTGGGCTCTGCTATGACTGGTTCAGCATACATTATTCTTGTTAAGTGCAAGTGAGATAAGTGGACAAATAGGAATATAAACAGGCTAACAGTGGGATGAGGAAACGTTAACGAATTTCTAGCTTAATCAAAACTAAATGATGACCGAGCTTTGCTCGGTTTTTTTTTTGATAACGCCATCTTGTTTGTCTTTAAAGCGGTTAGCTGCCCTCAATTAAGAAAAATAGTATTATTATTCGCCAATAGATGTCGGGAAGAGTTGATTATTGAAAACACGAATAAAACAACATTTTCTGAAAATAAATCGTAGCTAGATCGATTTATCGCCCCCGAAATCCCCTGTATACTAAATTTTATGAAAATCGTTGAAGCCGTTTCCAAGATTCAGATTATATACTATATATTAATATACAAGAATTGCTCGTTTAAAACTATAAGATAGCGTATCGTATAGTGTTTGTTTTCTTATTATAGTGAAAGAGTACCTATTTGATAAATAATAACAACCCAGAGTTGATGTCTAATAGCTCTTCTAGCTCTTTTTCTTCTCTAATAGCTCTTCTTCTTCTTCTTACTTCCCTGTTCCCGTTATCCGGGGTCGGCTCTTCTCACTCTACAGCGCCAGGCCGATCTGTCCTGGGTTGTCGGTTTTGGCAATTGGGCTTTCTTAAGGTCTCTTTCGATGTTTGACCACCAGGTTGATGGCGGGTGGTCTCTACCTTTCTTTTGTTCTGTTAAACGAATTTCTGTCCGAAATCCAGGATGCTGACGTATTTGCCGATAGTTGGGGAAAACTTTTTTCCAAAATAATGTTATTTTTAGCTTAATAAATAGTACTTAATGATTTTAATAATGTTTTTTGTGTTAACGAGTCAGGCGTTATGGTGCAAGCTGTAAGCCTGACTTTGTATTGAATGGAATAAATAAAAATAAATAAAACTGGATGTCTAATAGCTAAGGATGATATTTGTATCAGGAGGAAGTTTGTTTATATTTATTTGTACTTACATGGTGCCTTTAGCGACGGTCATGTTGAGGTTGCTGAGGACGTGGTTGGGCCGTTTGTTAGACCCGTAGTGTTTGAAGGCGTGCCGCACGCAGACTGCTTGCTGTCTCTTTTGCCATATCTGCCCAAAAATACCACATATCATTGATATTTTTGTTAAAAATAAGCGGGTTCTATCGAGAGCCACCCACAACGAAACTGAAGTCTCAGAAGCATAGAAATAGCGGTTATCTAAACTGGAAATTATTTCTCCAGTACCAAAACATTCTTTTTTATTGCTTAGATCGATGGACGAGCTCACAGCCCACCTGGTGTTAAATGGTTACTGAAGCCGACATCTACAACATAAATGCCGCCACCCACCTTGAGATATGGGTTCTAAGGTCTCAGTATAGTTACAACGGCTGCCCCACCCTTCAAACCGAAACGCATTACTGCTTCACGGAAGAAATAGGCAGGGTTGTGGTAACCATCCGCGCGGACTCACAAGAGGTCCTACCACCAGTTATAGAAATTTATTGAGTGGCCGTTATTGTCAAAGAGGTCTATTGAAGTCGTCGTGGCCTAAAGGATAAGACGTCCGGTGCATTCGTATCGAGCGATGCACCGGTGTTCGAATCCCGCAGGCGGGTACCAATTTTTCTAATGAAATACGTACTCAACAAATGTTCACGACTGACTTCCACGGTGAAGGAATAACATCGTATAATAAAAATCAAACCCGCAAAATTATAATTTGCGTAATTACTGGTGGTAGGACCTCTTGTGAGTCCGCGCGGGTAGGTACCACCGCCCCGCCTATTTCTGCCGTGAAGCAGTAATGCGTTTCGGTTTGAAGGGTGGGGTAGCCGTTGTGACAATAATGAGACCTTAGAACTATATCTCAAGGTGTGTGGCGCATTTACGTTATAGATGTCTATGGGCTCGAGTAACCACTTAACACCAGGTGGGCTGTGAGCTCGTCCACATATCTCAGCAATAAAAAAAATAAAAATATATAATTACTAAGGTCTCAAGTATAGTTACAACGGCTGCCCCACCCTTCAAACCGAAACACATTACTGCATCACGGCTGAAATAGGCGGAGTGGTGGTACCTACNTCAGTACGAGGCTTTGTGGCGGACTGCCGGCGCAGCAGCCCGGCGTCACCTGCGATAACGCATTTCGTGTGACATGCGCAATCAGGCGCATAACGCATTTCGTGTGACATGCTAGTACGATTTTGGTCCCCATAATTTTCATACCCCGGGCCTATATATGTAAATCGATTCTAAAGGAGTAAACTCCAAAAAGAAAAAAAAGAGGTATTTCAATTTTGAAACCTTTCGATAATTTTTAAATAAGAATCTTCCAGTTCGCTTAGCGATTAGAAGCGCTGCATCAATCGATCCAAGCCCTAAGGTCACAAAGACATTACCACACACATCAAACACAACAAAAGAATTACAACGACAAACATAATTCTATAAACACACAGCCTGACGAACAATGTGCGTCTTCGTTTTACGATCGCCTTTTACGTGGTAAAGTCTTCATTGAATGAATACTCCGAAACGCGACGTCGCATAGCCTTATACAATGGGACATTTCAACTAATGTCTGGAAAACATTTTAGACATCGACTAACTAACCGTATTTGTTTGAGGGAATATTACTTTCAATAACTTGTAATCTTAATAATCTTCTGTGATAATCTTAGTGATCTCAATAATCTTAAGAGTGTGCGACACTGGTCTCTGAAACTACCCCCACAGCTCGATCTATATCAATAATAATCTTATATCTTCTTAGCGGGACGCGATTCTGATCCGGTGGTAGATTCTGCGAAGCACTGCTCTTGCAAGGCCTAATGTTAGCAAATTATCTCAGGTTAAGCCCGTGAGCTAACCTACCCGTCCGGTTGGTAGTTCGAATAGCCCCTTAGGCTGCAAATGGGTAGGAAAAAATCTTCATCTTCAGTCGAAGCAAATTGACGAGTAAAGGCAGAGTGGCTTTTTTGTGACAGAAAGAACCCAATTAAGCACTTCTTGCGAGCGAATATTCCTTGAAAACTACTGTTTTCGTATTTAAGCAATTTGGACAAATTAAGCTTGAAGAAGTAGAAGTACCTTATTATCCGATCCAGTAACCAAATAACAGGTGAGACATGGAGCTATAGAACAACGACTACTTTTATACGACCCACCTGATGGTGAGTGGCTACCGCCGCCCATGGACTTCAGCAATTCCAGGGGCAGAGCCAAGCCGCTGCCTACCGAAATTCACATTATATGTCCCTCCTCAAAAGGCACTAGGATCGTGTGCCCTTTTATTCACTCCCTCAGTTTTAGTTAAAGGCAGAAGTGGAATGCTTTTGTGCGGTCAGCATGAGACAATTCTAAAAAATTTATAAAGGCTTCGACGTAGACCCATTTAAAACTATTATTATGCGAAATTTATTCTCCTGATTTTTTTAGATATCTTCTTTAAATTTTCTTAATGCAAGAGTTTTGGTGGTAAATATTTTAAGCTTTAAAATGCCTTTCTAAAATGACCTTTAAGTGTCTCTCTGTCACTAATTATAGTCACATAATCTGCACCTGTTCTGCTGTTGGTATTTCATAACGAATTATTAAATAAAACACGCAGGCCATTCGAAACAACTACAGGACCTACGTTATTTTAATTTTATCAAGAATGCCTTCGACTGTCATTTTCGTTGATATTTTATTTGTTTGTTTATCACGATGACAGATATGATGATTTCACCCGCGTCAAACTTTACAAAGAATCAAACACGTTGCATTTTCCGGAATATATAGCTGTTTGTGTCCCTGGTTCAGACTATAAACTTACGCCGGTAAAAGTAACGCCATCTATTGCTGAATAGTCGAACGAATGTCGAAGGATCTAGTAGCACCTAGAACGCTCGGGAAGTACAACGCCATCTATTGTCAGATAGCAGAAACACACAATATTCGACTTTTGTGGAATATTTTCGACAGTTCTAGGGATTTCGTCTCGACTATAAAAGCGTTGCAGAGATGGCACGCAGTCGGTTAGTAATCGGAACTACTCGAAGCGAAACAGCGAACGGATCACCTGAAGCGAAGCGGAAGAAACGAATTGACTGGTGGTAGGACCGCTTGGGAGTTCACACTGGTAGGTACCACCACCCCGCCTATTTCGGCCGTGAAGCAGTAATGCGTTTCGGTTCGAAGGGTGGGGTAGCCGTTGTAACTATACTGAGATCTTAGAACTTATATCTCGAGGTGGGTGGCGCATTTACGTTGTAGATGTCTATGGGCTCCAGTAACCACCTAACACCAGGTGGGCTGTGAGCTCGTCCATCCATCTGAGCCATAAAAAAAAAAAAAAAAATTGAGATTTTAAAGTGTTAGTGAAGTGTTTTAAATGTTCTAAGTGCTAATACACTGTTAACTTGTAATTCGGTATGAATTTTATTTATCCCGAACCCCAGCGCGCAACACTATGTTTGTACGAGACTGCATCCAAACCCGTTCTCCTATTGTTGTATTATTGAGAAACAAACATTCAAACTTTCACATTATAACATTAGTATAAGCTGCAGATTTATTGTGCAATAACAGATCAGAAACAGTATAAATTAAATGGTACAAAAGCGAGATTAGCTCTTGTGTTTTTTCTTCCAGCAAACCGAAATAGGTTTAGTTAGAAAAATATACAAAAAAACAACAAAATAAACATTTACATAAGTTACATGTTTCTGTAATGTGTACATTACATGTTATGGTTCTAGCAAATATAATTATCGATAATAGTTTTAGTCAAACATACCGTGCTTTCCTGTTTGTCGATCGGTACTGAGAATTGTATCTGGCCTATTTTGGACTCCTTCGCATCGCCGATGGGCGACGGAGGCGATGTCTCGCTGCGAACAAAAGGAACAAAAAGTTAATATTACATAATAATAATTAATGTGACTACATAATTATTGGAATGAGTCAGAAGTGAAGTTACTGAAGTCGTCGTGGCCTAAAGGATAAGACGTCCGGTGCATTCGTATCTAGCGATGCACCGGTGTTCGAGTCCCGCAGGCGGGTACCAATTTTTCTAATGAAATACGTACTTAACAAATGTTCACGATTGACTTCCACGGTGAAGGAATAACATCGTGTAATAAAAATCAAACCCGCCAAAATTATAATTTGCGTAATTACTGGTGGTAGGATCTCTTGTGAGTCCGCACGGGTAGGTACCACCGCCCCGCCTATTTCTGCCGTGAAGCAGTAATGCGTTTCGGTTTGAAGGAATTTGGGGCAGCCGTTGTAACTATACTGAGACCTTAGAACTTATATCTAAAGGTGGGTGGCGCATTTACGTTGTAGATGTCTATGGGCTCCAGTAACCACTAAAACCAGGTGGGCTGCCAATGAGCCAGGTGAGCTCGTCCAGCCATCTAAGCAATAAAAAAAAAAGATTTTGAGGTAGCATTAGAAGAGTCTGCTCCGCCGTATTCCACTGTCGCAAGGTGGGCTTCTCAATATCGAGTAGGGAGAACGAGCACGGAAGACGAACATCGTTGCGACCGTCCATCGACGTCAGTCACCCAAGAAAATGTTGCGAAAGTCGAGAAAATTCTATTGAGTGAAGAGCTCCCATCCGATACTTAATACAAGACAAGAATAGCGGAGCCGCCGGGGACTAGGGGCCTGGTCTCTCTGTTACTATTCATGGAGGTATTTAGCCTACTGTACTACGCTGGCTAGACGGGTTGGTACAGGGTTTAAATTCGAATTTTCCTTCTCTTACAGTAATGGCTTGTGCATATTCCCATAGTCGGTTCTTACGACTCCCTGGGATAGTATAGGGGTGGTGACACTCATTCTTACTCCGTCACCACTGGACATCAGTTGGAGAGGCCTATGTTCAGCAGTGGACAGTAGACAGGCTGAGATGATGATGACTTAATACAAGAAACGGGCATTTCATATGGAAGTCTTCAATCCATATTGAAACAATCTTTGAATATGAGAAAAGTCTCCGCAAGATGGGTGCCGAGAATGTTGACCGACAGTCAGAAACAAAATCGACATGACATTTCGAAGATATCGTTGGAAAAGTTTCTAGAAGATTCTGAAAACTGTTTGTATTGTATTGTATTACTAGCGACCCGCCCTCGCTTCGCTTCGGAAACATTAAAACACACATGAAACCAAAAAAATAAATAAAAAAAAAATATATATAAAAAAGTAGCCTATGTTCATCAGGGACAATGTCGGCTTCTAATGGAAAAAGAATTTTCAAATCGGTCCAGTAGTTTCGGAGCCTATTCGAAACAAACAAACAAACAAATCTTTCCTCTTTATAATATTAGTATAGATTTTATCACAAATTGATCTATCCGTTAGGAATGCTATCTTTCAAGTTTCAACGACCCGACACAAGGCGTCTCAATTAAGAGTGGTAACTCTGGGCCAGTGCGAGAATAATCGCTCAGAAAACAAATAACCACACGATTAAAACAGACACAAGAAGCAATAAAATGTAATTAAGTGACGTTATTCCTTCATCGTGGGAATTAGCGAAATATAATTATTTAGAAATAGCTGGCGACGTTCGATAAAAAAAAAAACATGACTAATTCGGCCCTGCTAGCTTGACGAGAGCAAACAATTTATTTCTTTCAATACGTAGAACCCGATGGATGGAATTTACCGATACGAAATGAATGAACCGATTAGAAGAAAAAAAAAACAATTTAATTGACTTATTATATCTTGAAACAGAGTTCGGCGAATGTTCTTAACAGTTTGTATAAAAAAAAGATGTCGTGGTGTCGTGGGACACCGGATAGGAACGAAGTTCCTTATTATAAAAATATTAATTTTAAATTCTATTCGAGGTGTAAAGAAAATAATTATTCGGGTATACATTTTTTATTGTGATTTTTTTATTGATAAAAAAAAACTACTTTACAGAGTTATCAGCATAATTTTATTCATAATGATTTACAAAAAATATATAATAAAAATATATTATTTTTTGTACGTTATTACAAAGTTAAGTCGTACACTGTGTGCATTACTAAGAAAAATATAACGTTACGGACGTTTTTTTCCGGCTAGGGTACCTCTCCGCATCGTCCCATAAGGAACTTCGTTCCAAAAACGAATAGAGCTTTTGAAGCTTTGACTGGTGAGCATCCTGTGTGGTGAGTGACAAAAATACGCGACTTCACATTAATGGTAGGGCGTGTTGGAATTACGTGCGGGTGAGCACCACGATCCTCCCTAGTTCTGCTACGAAATACTCCAGCGTTATATGTCTATGGGCTATGGTAACCACTTAACACCAGGTAGACCGTAAACTGGTTCGCCCGCCTCTATCCAAGAAAGAAAACCGTGAATACTTGATACAATTAGGAAGCCACGTAACTTAATGAATTAGATTATTTGGTTCAGTGTCATGCGTGCCTAATCAAAAGGTCGCAGCGTCGAGTCTGAGCACGTACCATACTTTTTTTAACCTTAATTGAAAGTCACGTTTGCCTAACTTAAAGAATGTTCACTGAAAACGGAGACTTTGATTCATCACAGCCTTTTCCCGTGGTTTAGTAAAACGATCGCTTTGAGAATTATGACGACTGTCATTTATTTTCTTTACGCTATTGGAAATTGAAAGAGGCACTGAATAGTTATTGGTAGTAGGACGTCTTGTGAGTCCGCACGGGTAAGTACCACCACCCTGGCTATTTCAGCCGTGAAGCAGTAATGCGTTTCGGTTTGAAGGGTAGGGAAGCCGTTGTAACTATACTGAGACCTTAGAACTCATATCCGAAAGTAGGTGGCGGCGTTTACGTTATAGATGTCTATGGGCTCCAGTAACACTTAATACCAGGTGGGCAGAGCTATAAAGCTTAGTGCTGCAGTTTTAAGGGTCCCTTTCTAGCGGATATAATGCCTGAACTATCGAATAGGATCTGCGCATTACATATTATTAGGAATAAGAGGAATACGGCTAAACGTAAATTCACTAAACGTGACGTCATTTGAGGCTAAACAGCGGCAATCGATAGACTGTACCATTACTGTACCGGCAAAATTATAATTTACGTAATTACTGGTGGTAGGACCTCTTGGGAGTCCGCACGGGTAGGTACCACCACCCTGACTATTTCAGCCGTGAAGCAGTAATGCGTTTCGGTTTGAAGGGTGGAGCAGCCGTTGTAACTATACTTGAGACCTTAGAACTTATATCTAAAAGTGGGTGGCAAACGAAAAAAAAAAAAATAAAACGATTAGTGATTAAAGTTTGGATTGACATGAAAAAAAATGTTGGATGTTTTTCTTTAAGGTAGATGCGACCGTAATGTACAAATCGAAACAGCTCACAATCGACTGTAATTGAATTTACGAACAAGTACCATTAGCTACTCAATTATCATGTTATGATGTAGCACGCTTCTAACGTATGCAGCTACCCGTCCTAAGTATGGTGGTGTTACGTAAAACCAAGACAGATACGATCCTATCGTTTCGTCATGAGGCCGTGAACGATATGTCAATATGGAAACACATTTTGCATTAGTAGCCGATGTATTGTGTGATCGGAATTAAATGAGCCAGCCCACAGAACGCCTTGAGCTAAAATGTGTGTAACTTTGATAGTATTTAATGTTATGTTTAATTCAACATCATCAGGTTTGAGCCCCGTGAGCTCACCTACTAGCCACGGTTACGCTGAAATATCCCCTAAGGCTATCAGCATAGGTAGTAAAAAAAAAAAATTTCGCAATTAATTTCATCGCAATTATTAGGATTTAATAGTGGAACACGGTCACTTTCTGCTGTTAGTTAAATGTTTAAAAAATAAAAACATTTCTCAAAACTGTAACTATACTTGAGACCTTAGAACTTGGGGGGTTGATTGCTTCCCGCTTCCGTAGGTTTAACCCGCGATTCCCTACAAGTGACCCCTGGGTGGTGCAAAACGGGAGCCGAATACATAATCGGTGGTAGGACTTGTCCGACTGGCTGGCGACCACCCTCCAACTAGAGTCCGCCGCCAAATAGCCTAGCTGTGTTCCGGCGTGTGGGTTGGAGAGCCAGTGTTATTNACCGTAATGTACAAATAAAAAAATGTTGGATGTTTTTCTTTAAGGTAGACGCGACCGTAATGTACAAATAAAAAAATGTTGGATGTTTTTCTTTAAGGACGACGCGACCGTAATGTACAAATCAAAAAATGTTGGATGTTTTTCTTTAAGGTAGACGCGACCGTAATGTACAAATAAAAAAATGTTGGATGTTTTTCTTTAAGGTTCTTTATATCGCGCGACCGTAGCGTACAAATCAAAACTGCTCACAATCGGCTGTAATTGAATTTACGAACAAGTACTATTAGCTACTCAATTATCATGTTATGACGAAGCCCGCTCTAACGTACGCAGCTACCCGTCCTAAGTATGGTGGTGTTACGTAAAACTAAGACAGATACGAGCCTATCGTTTCGTCATGAGGCCGTGAACGATATGTCAATATGGAAACTCATTTTGCATTAGTAGCCGATGTATTGTGTGATCGGAATTAAATGAGCCAGCCCACAGAACGCCTTGAGCTAAAATGTGTGTAACTTTGATAGTATTTAATGTTATGTTTAATTCAACATCATCAGGTTTGAGCCCCGTGAGCTCACCTACTAGCCACGGTTACGCTGAAATAGCCCCTGAGGCTATCAGCTTAGGTAGGAAAAAAAAAAAATAAAAAAAAAAAAAAAAAGAATGAAAAAAAAAATCGCAATTAATTTCATCGCAATTATTAGGGTTTAATAGTGGAACACGGTCACGTATTGCTGTTATCGTTAATTGTTTTAAAAAAAAAAACATTTCTCAAAACTGTAACTATACTTGAGACCTTACAACTTATATTT